TTTACTATACTGCGTCGCGCGATGTTTTTCCTCGTGTCTTCTTCTTTTCTCTACGTTATATACGCGCAGCAGCAGCAGTGTACACTGTACAGAGAGGAAGAGAAGAAGCGCACGTGAATTTTTTCAATCTTTTCTCTCTCGAAGCTAGCTCCGAGGCTGCAGCGGAAAATTCTCTCTTTACTTTATGCGTCTTTGGCTTTTACATTAAATAAATATGCAGCGTTTACGTTTATAATATTCCCGCGTAAACGCACACACACAGAGGATTACAGAGCGGGCTGCTAATTTGCGGCCGATTGGCAGGCCAATTTACTATTCTTGGCTTCTTATGCATTAACAATTACGTGGCGCACGAATATTGGCTAATTAACGCGCACACACACGTAAACGTAAACTCTCTCTCTCTGGTTCATGAAAATATGCTACACGTTGTTGTGTGCCCGTACGCATATTTAATTTAATATATAATAAATAATATAAACGCATATAATACAAACGCTGCATGAGCTTAGGTGAATAGCAGCAGCAGCACGAGAGCTGCTTTACCTAGGCTCAGCTCTCCGTGATGTGTATAGTCGAGCCTGATGCTGCTGCAGCTTCGACTATACCATTTTCACATTTAATTATTTTTCGTCGGAATATAATAGAGTATTGGAATACGTTCTAAAGGTTTTAACGACGTGTATGATACATATAATATAATAAATGCGTTCGAATGCTTGTTTATAATACGCATTGCATGAAAAGGTGTGTGCATGTATAATACAGGGAGATATGTGCAACACAGGGAGAAAAAAAAACATTATAAATCGCCTCTTAACGAGTCGAATTGCCTCGATTGTTCGAGGTATTATTGATTTATCGTTCGTTGTAACAACAACAACAACAAAAACAGTCGAACTTTCAAATCGTTCCGATGCATCGCTTGATGATGCACACGAATCAAATTATCGTATACGTGAAAGCAACGTGATTGATATGAAGTTTTCATACATAATCTTACGGAATGAAAAATTGGGATGCAAAACTGATACATACATCGTTTCTTCAAAAGGAATTTCGAATACTCGTTACCGCAGTGATATAAAATTTGTATTATACTGCAGCAACAGTTTACCATGTCCGTACGTACATATAATATTGGCTTTTACGATATCGCCCATGAAAACCCATGTGTGTGCATATTCCTGGTGTATTCTCGCTTTAATAATAATAATAACGACAGGCGCAAAACTATTGTACGCCGAATAAAGTAGATGTGTGTATCATATAATATAATATGGCTAAAGTTCGTGCCACCAAATCGTATTTATAAATATAGACAAACGTTAATCTAATGCATGCAAAGTGCTTTGGTGTGTGTGCGCGGGCGCTATCTGGCTAAAACGCCTATATATAATACGCGCATACATCTAGTGGCCAATGTTGCAAATGTTGCGCCATACACACATACAATCGAGCTCTCGCGCGCGAGGAGGAATCAATAAAAACCTCCGCGACGACGACGATCGGCTATACAATACTTTTCTCGCTCGATGATTCGCGCAATTTCTTTTTTTGCGCCCACGTCGCAAAGGAAAATATGACGAAAAGCAAAAAAAAAAAAAATCATTCGAACGAGGCGTTGCAGTGCCAGAATTCATCTGGTGTATCATTTACGTGCTGCTGCGCGTGTAGTGCCGCGACGACGATGGCAACAACGAATGGGCGTACTACCGCAGCCACGAGAGCTCTGCCGAGCACGAGTGAAAAAGCTCGTCTTAAAATTGCGACGCAGTTAGAGCTGTGCAGCAGAGACAAGTATATATACTACGAACGCACACACACAGACAAATATATACATGTAACGCGTGCATCGGTGCTGCGAGTGCATATGTGCAGCACAGTGCAAATCGCGAAAGTAGAGAGCAAGACAGAGACAGAGAGCTTGAGAGGCCGCTGAACCTCTCGTAGCCGAAGTAAACATTGCGGCGTAAGCGCGTTGTATATAGAGAACACGCCGCGCGAAATTTTGACAAGCGTGGCTCCATCTCTCGGACGCGCCTCGATGTTCCTACTATCGAATGCGTGCACTAACACGCAGCTATGCGCGACGACGCCACGACTTTTTCGCGTACAAACGTTTCGATTCGCGATAATGCTTCGATTTGTTAATTTTACGTAATAAATAATAATAATAATGACTCGCGGTCGAACGACACCGACGCGTTCGTAATGAATCGACGAATTCGTGCGATCGAGAGCCCCACATAACCTGCGTGCGAATCTCGTGGGTAAACGCGCGTGTGCATTCCTTCCGCGCACCGAGATTCGACGAGATCCAAACGTTTATCGCACAGCACCATCCATACATCTACCCTATAGACACACACGCGCACCAATACACAAACATCGGTTGGTTGGTGTACGCACACAAACGTAGGCGCGCTGGAGCGCGAGCGTAAACATGTGTTATACTATACACACTGCGCTACATCGATATATATGTATACAACACGCGCGCGTTATAATGCACTGCGCACTTTCCGCGTATAATAACGAAATGTACACACACTCACACACGACGCAGGATGACGTTTTCTTTCTAATCGTCGTCGGGCCGAAGATATTTCGCGACGAGAGATTCTTGGCAATTGTCGGAACACGTTTTACCGGCTCTCTCGCAAAGAAGACACGGTATTTCCAAGATTCGTCGTCGTCGGGTCATTGATTTACGAATGTCACATTATTGTATTCGAGGCGAGCTTGAAGAGAGAGAGAGAGAGAGAGAGAAGAAAAAAAACAAATACGAGCGCAACTAGTACGAGAGAGAATTTCGTGATAAAAAAAGGAAACGATAATTGTACGAAAGCTTAGAACAAAACTTTTTGTTCGTCACGCGTCGATCGAAAGGAGCTGTATGGTGCATTAACAATGTGCAGCTCGTCGTTCGTCATTAAAGTCGGTGCTTTTATTCGCAAAGGAATATCTCTTCCTTTCCGTGTTATTTTACGACGAGAGACGCATAAAACGACGACGACGGTGTGCGCACAGCAGCATACACACGTGAGAGAGCGTAAAGAGACACATCGGAGGTGGTGATAGCACCACGAGACTCCTCTGCTCTGTGTATACGTTGTACAGCCAATGTATAATATACGGACGACGACACACGTACTTGTCTGTGCTATGCTATGCTATGTATGTGTGTGTGTGCATACCTCCAGACTCTCTATACTCTATATACGTGCGCACTATCAGCGCGACAGACATATATACACAATGTACGAAAACACACACACGAGCAGTAATAGTAACACTGAGAGATAAATAGATGGGTAAATAAAGAAATATGTTCCAATTCGTAAGAGTACTCACCGTCGCTCGGGTCTTCCAGCTCGGCATTCTGGAAGTTGTATATATCTGCAAAAAAAGCCAAAATACAGACGATGAGTGGATGTGATCGTGTATAAGCCGGGGTTATAATACGATCGTTGCGGCCCCTCAAAAAACCAGAGCTAGCCCAGACAGGGATCGATTTATAAACAAATTACGCAGGACGCGAATTGCCAATCGAGCCCTCGCATTATTATGTTTATTATTATTTCGGGGGCGAAATAAAACTAGGCTAGGGGCCGAGAGATCGAATTTATTGCACACACTCACCCGCCATCTTGCCAACAAACTATTGGCGCGCCCTCGCGGCCGGACTGGGGCTCCTCCGCGGACAAGTTAACTCGGCGCTAGCTAGGCCTCTCGGGCTGGCTGCTGCTGCTGCTGCTCTTTGGCAGCTACGTATGTATATATATCTTGTATATATAGCACTGACACACGCACACGGGGTTATACACGCACAGGACACAGACGCACGAAGGCGCTAGTAGGCAATCAGCGACACACACACACAGGCAGAGATCTCTCGTGCGCCGCGCTTACAGAGAGAGAGTGACGAGGAGTGCAGCAATATTATTGCCCACCTATTGGTTGATGCTTCGAATGAGTGTGTGTGCGTGCGTGCCGACTACACAACAATCTATGGAGACTAAATAATCGCGAGACAGCTCGTTTCGCTCTGTGTTCTGTGCTGCTCCGGCCGTTGACGCGCGCGAATTCTCAACTTTTCGTATTTCAATACGAATACAAGTGTAGCCGTCGTCGTCGCTTTATTAAAACTGATGAAACATGCTGTACGATGACGGCGATGATGATGACGACGGTGGCGGTGCGAATTCAGCTTTTTCGACTGTTTGCCGCGGCGCCCGACCGGCTGCGTGCGACGAGATATGAGCGACGAGCTTTTTATCTATTATATCCGTATAATGGCCAGGCGATTTTTTTTTTTCGGGAATGCTTTTGTAGAGGGGAAATGAAGAGACATTTTTTTCTGCTCTTTAAAATACTCGAATTTTTTTTTTATATTCAACTGAGAATATAATTTATGCGATATAATTTTGAACATACCCTCGTGTTTCGTATAATGATAAATCAATTTCGTATGTAGTTTCTTTTTTTTTCAAGTATTTACAATATGTATTATTGGTATTCGAACATTTGAATCGATAGAATAAAATCGAGAATCATCTTTTTCTCAAAATTCTTGACACATGGAAATTTGATTGTACGATACATTTTAAATATAAGTTCAAGTAGACTTCGTTATTTTTTTCTGCGCTATCAGCGAAGCCGTCTTACTCGACGATTATCAAACAATTAATTTAAAATATTACAGTTAAATGTTTCTTATTTTTTTTTCCTTTGGAGGGACTGAGAATGCATTTTTCGTAGTTATTTAGTTTAATTTGCATTAGAGTCAAAGAATGAAATTTAACAAATAACTAAAAATGTTCTAGTTCCTCAGTACTTTCGGATTATGACGTGAATTTACATCGACATTTTTTTCCTAGTTCTTGTGCATTATATATTTTTGTATTATTCAACAATGAATTTTTTAATATAACAAAATAATCTTATAAAGGCTAGTAAAAAAAACTTAATTTTATAGTTACGTTGTTACATGTATATTTTACATTGTAAATAAAATTATCCAGCACTGAAGCAAGTATGCAACGACTTCATTACGTGAAATATTTTTATATTCGTAATTCATAGCAAAAGCATCACAAAAGACTTGTATATAAAATAAATAATTGAGATATATCATTGAAGAATTAAAAAGACTTTGTTTTTAAACTGGAATGCTGATTCGATTTTATAAACGATGTTACGCTCAATTTTTTAGCCATTAGCTAATATGTTAAATTGTAAATCAAATTCGATTACAAGATCGGAAAAGACTTAAGATGCTAACCGTGAGTCAATACTTCATTCGTTTCACAACTTAATAAAACAATCACATATACTTATTGAAATACGCTGTTATCGTTACTTAGAATATCTGTTAAAATAATCACTTGAGTGATTGTTCGTGCCTTATAATAAAACGATCAAGATTACCAGCTTGAATTAGACAATAGATAATTATGTTTTCTTGTTATTAGAACAATTCGATCGCGGAATCGCGACATCAATTTTAAAGTTGATTTCAATATAAATCTGTTATTTTTTAACTATAGTAACTTTTAGTTTAGTAATGATATAAAAACATTATAACAGCACTTGACTAGTGCGTGTTTGAATATTTTTTATAATAGATTAATGCATAATCTATGGATTTATTCTTAATATTACGTCGTTGAAAATCAAAGAGATTATTAAAATGCCGTCCTTTTTGGTACTCGTCACGTACTATTCGCATTGCTATCTATTGACATTTCTTGAATCGGCGCTCTGCACATTGGACATTCGATCAATTGTTTAGAGCATTCTTGGCAAAATCCTCTGAAATTGGATCATTTATAAGTAAAAAATCGCAGCATAGTTAGTTTCTATGAAAAATTTATCGTACCTATGATCGCAAGGTAACAACTTCACCGTAGCTTTTCTATCGAAACAAAGTTCACAGGAATCCTCTCGGACGCTGAATTTTCTCAGCTCTTTTAGGAATAAATGTCTTGGTAAAACGATTTTTTCTTCTGGGTTTAGAGTAGCGTGATCGTTGAAAGTTTGAAACGTTCGATCTTTTGGTGGATACTTGAAAGGAACATTTCCGAAATTGAAAAGACATTGTTGAAACGACATGAAACTTGCCGCAGCGAAAAATCCTGACCTGAAAAAGTAATAATAAAGTAGTAAAGGATATTTGGAAGACTCAATTAATTAAAGTATTTATTTGTATATTTACCTGGCTTTTTCAAATAATTGCTTACAAGTCTTCAAAGGGGCTCCATTTATTGAAAATATGATTTCTTGCTTATTTAAATCTAATAAACAACCCAAAATATCTCCTTCTCTCCAGCAAGGTATATTAAAAACTCTCTCACTACGGGCATTATGCCATATAAGTCTTCTGCACCCATCAAAAGCTAATGAAAATTGATCATCTCCGATGCCATATCCTTCCTAAAAATTTAATGACAAAAGGAATAAAAATGTATTGACTGAATAGATTTATCAATGGTAAAAAGATATTTACATGATTTAAAAAAGTACTATCTTTTGTGGCCCAACCAATTTGCATTACACCGCTGGTGATAATAAGAGTTTCATAATACCATACTCCTTCATCTACTTGAAATGTACATCTAACACTTTCAAATGAGTAAGCATCACATCGTGCCTGTAACAAATAAGTTTTTTGCATATTCATGGACAAAAAAAATAATTATTGCTCAGATCAAACAAACATACCTCTAATCCGTTTGGAGAAATTTTCAGGTACTCACTTACGTCTTTTGTATTTAACATCACATTTATGCCAGTCAAATCGACTGTGTTATGAGAATAATCTCGTCCCTCTATTAAAACTAGAAGTTAAATAATATTAAGTATTACTCTATTATTTTATAGATAAAACTAATACATTTATTATTTCATTGAAGTACTTACATAAATTATCTAAACACCATTGAGCACTAAAACCAACTTGTCGTTGTACATATTTAGTTTCATTGGCCCACTTTTCTAATGTCAATAAAGGATTTGGATCTTTCTTTAGAAGGCGGTTTTTAATAGTAATTTTATTTTCACCTGTAATTAAAACATTTTTATTAATAAATAGTGAATACTAAGTTTATAAATTTGAAATTAAAGAGGAAATTACTTGTTTGTGCAAATTTCTCTAGAGCTATTAAAGAAAATAATATTACATGTGGATCAACATCCTCCTCCTGCAAAATATAACAATAATTATTATATTATATACATTTTATAATTCTAATACCAATTTTTTACTGACAAGATTAGATAAAAGAAAATCTAGAGTTGCATCTGATAAAATTGCTATGCTACTCGGACCAGCCAATCTCTCTGCTATACAGCCTAAAACAACACAGATATTCCTCTGTTGCGTTGCGCTTATTTTTGTTTTTTTGTGATCTTGTGACAACTGGAATACTTGTGATAGCCTTAGAACAGAGTCCTATGAACAAAAATAGTTGCAATTAGAATAAATAGAATTATTGTTTCTTTCTACTGCATTATTATTGACTCATACCTTTGAAGGTAATGGGCAATCGTCTAGCATTAAAGTAATAACAGAAGCTCCAAGAGGATTAAACATTGGAATAACATTAACCATTGAACTGACAACTTGTATCCAACCATCTTCTTTGTCAGCTATATTATGAAGCTTTAACATAGCTGGTGGAGGTTCCTGTTCACTACAGAATTGATACAAAAATTATTTAATGAATAATAGATTTTAAGGTATATATATTTAAAATGATTCTCTTACCTATCAACAAGTAAACCTATTACTCCTAATATCTCTAGAACTAATTTGTCTATATGTGGTAACGTAGGAAATTTAAATTGCGGAGGTGGCTCAGCTTGTGTGGTCAAGTCCAAGGGATGATCATATGAATTTTTAGCCATTGCCATCGAACTTGACCTGGTGTTATATGATGAGTTCCGTCCATTGTGACTGGCAGTGTTTTTACATAAACAATTTCCCATTACCACAAACTTTGTATTCCGGTTACTTGGACTGCTTTCAAAATATCATGACCTGATGGAAAACAAGATACTTTTTTAGAGTCATTAAAACATTAAATATTATTTTAAGAGGGAATTGCCTTATATAATTTAAGTTTAACTACATTAATATTGATTTTGAAAATACCATTTCAAATTTAACATTTTTTTATTACTGCAGATGTATTTAAAGATACAATGGTTAATATGGAGTAAAGCCAAAAATAAGCATACGCATTGATTCAGTGACCTTGAAGTTGATTGACTCTTTGGCACTGAATAAACTGCAATAAGCTCATCCAGTACCAAGGGTGTATGATAATTTTTTCAAAGATTTAAATGAAAATTTTTACAGGTTTTAAAGATTGCTTTTGGAGTTTTAAACTTTTAAAGCAGGGCATTCGATTATTCATAAAATTATTTATACCTGTCAACAAATGTGGTATTTCAATTACTAACAATGCACAAGTAACAAAGACAAAAATTCTTCAATCAATCTTTGTAATCTTATAACTTCACAGGTGCTGTGCACATAGTGATATTTACTCAACGACTTTCTACACTTATCAGGCCAATTGATGAAGTAATTCCTGCTACTAAAAGTTACTAAATACCCTGTTGCACAAACAAACGACACTTATAGCGACGACGTTAAGTGAATTAATTATGCATCCGAAGAATCGACCGTGGTAAATTTAGAAAGAGGATGGGTCGATTTTTTTTTTAATTATACATCATTAAAATTTAACGATGAAAAAGAACCAAAATCAGAGAGCAGTCACAAAATAAACTCACGGTCGAGAAGTCAGAAGAAGAAATTCGAATTTTCACTGCGAGGCAAGGCAGCAGCAGTGGCGCAGTCTGCTCGTAATCGAAATTGACTAATTGTCGCTTCGACTTTATTTATCATTTTCCGTCTCGTATAATCTCGAAAGCAGTTCTACACACACGATATTGATGCCTGCACGCATTTTCACGATAAGGTTTCACCGAAAGAAAGAAAGAGAGAGAGAGAGAGAGAGAGACGTGCAATTCAGAAGCGTATACGATTTTTCCCTTCGACAATTTTCGGGCTCGTAAACACAAAACATACATATGAATCGATATATATACTCACGAGTTGTCATACGGGATAAATAAAGCTCTCGTCTCTCAAAGTGTGCGTTATAGTATATGCTACGTATATTTGAGATTTTGGCCAGTAGTTACAGTCAGTGGCAGCCTAGCAGTAGCAACGACGACGCGGACGAAAATTCACGTCAATGGGCGATCAGCAGGCAGGCAGCGGGCGCGCGAACAATATCAAGAAACGAAATTGAATCTTATGCGTTTGTGTGTATAGTGCGTAAACGCGAGGCGCACACGAGTCACCGCAACGATGACACAGACGGAAACACTTAAAATAATCTTACGGTTCGGAAATGGAGCTATAATAGGTATTTTATTATCGAATGCTCTCGCTCGGCGCACGCGACACTCGCACTTTTTTTTCGTCAACTGGTTGCAGCGGCACGACGAATCATCGTCAGCTGTATATACCGAGAAAAATAAAGACCGAACGACGCTCCGCGCGCACTCGTGGATTGTAGCACCTATATGCTGGTCACACGACTCCGAATTTTGGTCAATACACAATTACGCCGAGAGAGTCAAATTGTTGTAGGCATGCACACGGGTGCCTGAGCGGGCGCGGAGAGCCACTATATTATTACAAAAGTAGTAGTAGGCGCGATACATGTGCTACTACTACGATAACGTGTATATATATAGAGCGCACGAAGAGATTGCGATAAAATTCAAACAACTTCTCTGTGTGTGTGTGTGTGTGCGTATTGTATTGCTTACCCATCTGCTTTTGTAATTTTCGCTCGCGCGGATAGGCGATTCGTGAGCTAGCTGGTGGTGGTGCTCGTCGTGCGTGTGCGTAGTCACGTTACAATACATATATCGATCACTGCTATCGTGGCTTTGGATCTCATCGTCGTCACGTATAATCTCTCTATCTCGCCTTTTACCTCAACTTCCAATGTGTAGTTCACGTGTTTTTAAAGGGGGAAAAAATAACGTAATGTACACATTTAGATAGGCGACGACGAGCTGCTGCTGCTTCTGTACGCAACACCTCTACTAACATGTTGATTACTATACTGGCCTCTCGCTCTCTGGCTGTGCATTAGTCATGAACACTCGGAGTCAGTCTCTCTCTCTCTCTCTCTTTCTATATGCAGACACACCACAACAACACACACACACTCTTGACTCTGGTGCAGTGTGCTGCGCTGTGGCTGTGCACGACGAGTGCCGTGTCGCAGCATTGACACACAGAGTCGCGCGCGCGTGGTCTCCTATAAGCTACCTATACATCATTATGCTATATACACAACCACACCATCTCCGTACATTAACAGGGAGTTGTTTGTTTTCTTCGCGCTGGGCGAGATAGGTTAGGAGATTTCTGCACACTGCGCTGACTTGACTGCAGCAGACGTCTGCGAGTTTGCATGCAGCAGAACTGCGCCTGCTGGTTGCGCGCGCGCCTGTTCAAGTCTGCTGCTCAGTGGAGCGGGATCTTTCAAAAGGCGCAGCCGAGCGCGACCGTTAAATATTAGCTATAGTGGTGGAACGTTATTGTATGGGAAATAGTAAATAAATATTTTAATTATAACTTAATGCTGCTGCGTACCGGAGAGACCGAGCGCGAAATGGGCCCATTAATAACGTGAATGAATGGGGTAGAGAACTGCTGCTGAACACCATTGACCAAGATATTATACACGGGCGCACTTCTCTCTTTCTTTTCTTTTTTCTTACTTGCGCTTTTACTGAAATCTGCTGGATTTCTGCCGCCGCGCGCGGTGAACACGAAACCACACGCGGATCGGACTTTCTTTTTCTCTCTCTCTCTCTTTCCTTCGATCCTATTGTATTAGGTTCTTTAAGAGAGCGAATCGAGAGCATCGCAACAAGCCGAGTGTTGCTTTTTTTTTTGGTCGCGTTGAGTTGTATCGCACTAATTTCACAGAACCGGATAAATGTTTGCGCGCTTACCGAGAAATCGATGCCGATGATCTAGAGGCGCTATCGATTTGCTGTATGCCGCGAAGCTTCGAGCGCGAAGAGCGTCAATAATAGTCGAGAGATAAAAATGTTCGTTATCATCTCGATGTAACTTGCACACATGCTTTACGATCACGAGACGTCCGATAGAATACCGCAGACTTTGCTCGTGAGCTACTGTCATTTTTTTTTCTTCGCGCGTTTGTTTGCTGTTGTTATTTCTAGAGAGTGCGTGTGCACGAGATTTGTTATGCGTGTAAGTAAACGTCGAAAAATATTGTTAATTAAAGAGCCGACGCGGCTTATTCGTGCGCGGATAAGATTACTGCTTGTACATGCACTGTTGGCCGTGAAAAATCGAAAAATCGGGAATATCCCAAAAATAAAAAATGTCAATCAAGTCCGAATTCGTATCGACAGCTCCGAAATTTTTATTTACGCACTGCTGCCGGGGGGCGGGAACTGAACTTTCGCTCTGCGGTGAATCGAATGGCATCGCGGCATGTAACAATTATAGGTATGATGGATCTACTGTAATGTCAAGGTAAACATACTGCCGACGAGTTCGCGCACAAACAATCGCTCGTAATGTAGGCACAGTGCGAATTCAAGGCTGTATACTACTCGCAACTCGGTGCGCGAATATACGAAAAATGTACACACCTGCGTTCTGGTACATAACCTTATAATTGCGAATTTTCGTTGTGTATATTGACATTTGCGCGCGCGGGTTGTACGCTTATTAGTTGCTGACGATTTTTAGACGAAAACAGTGGCTTTTTACGCGATAAAATTGATAGCGAATTTGCGAACGTATTAACTTATTACCGAAAGGAGAGAGAGAGACTGCATCGAGGGATTCGAAGATGATTGCAAAGATTTTAAAGCTCTCCATGGGCTTGGGCAGCTTCTTTTACACATTTACTGTGCTATGTCGTTTGATGAAATTTTTATCGAGTCCGCAAGAGAGTAAAGAGAGCGACGAGTTCAATGCAGGTACTTGTGTTTTATGATAAACCAGAGTACCCCTATTTTACAATGTGACTAAATCATGCCTCTTTTTCTTTATCGTATGCTAAGGTTTGATCAGCAAAACATTATGGACCCTGTTTATGAATACAGCTTTACTCAGCGTATTCATCTTACAACATTCTCTCATGGCTGCTAAATCTGTAAAAGATTTGTATCATAGATTAAACTTGGACGACCTCGAGCGTAGTATTTACAATGCCTGTAGTGCCGGGGCATTACACTTTGTAATATCTCATTGGCAAACCATAACTTGGGCATACATTTGGGATTTCAAAGCTCTTCAAAATGACAAGATATGGTACACTACTATGGCCTTTCAATCATTCGGTTGGTTGATCATTTACGTTGGTTGCGTTACCATGGATATATTAGATCTAGCTGGTTTGAAGCAGATTTTCTATAAAATATCTGGACGACCACGCCCAATGTCCTTAAAATCCTTGGGCTTCCAAAGATATATCAGTCATATGAGGCATCCTAGCTTCATTGGATTTATTTCAATCTTGTGGTTCTTCCCACTGATGAGGTAAAAATATTGATGTTATTATGTACATCATTGGCTTTCTCAAATTGACATATAACTAAATTTTGTTACAGTATTGATAGACTGCTCATGGCTTCTTTATTGACAATATACATGGCTTTGATGTGGTCAATCGATGAAGATGATTATAATTACCATTCCATGACTATTTGGAAAAAACAAAGGGGATATAAATATTACTGAATAAGTGATTTCCAGTATTTTGCTTAATATTATTTTGCAGCTATAAAATTAACTCATAATTGAGTTAGTTGAGGTCTTAATGCTTTAATATTTATGGGTGATATTAACTTAAGCTTATCCACTAACTTTGAAACTGCTAAATTCCTGATTCATTTCCATTCAATTAGAATAATTGATCAAGTAATCTCAAATTTTAACAATATATACTACCTATGGTATATAAAAATGTATTAGAGTAATGATTCAAGATGTATTGGTTTACCCTTATGGCAGCTATGAGAGTAATCATCATAAATTACGTCACTATATTCCTTAAAAAAATCTCTAATGAGATACAAAAGAGAATTTAAGTGCCTAATTTTAGTAATAAGTAAATATTTTATAATTGTAAAGAAATGAACATTTTATGAAGTATAAGTTTCAGAAATATTTATCGCAAAGTTGAAAATGCTTCAGTAGTGTATGAATTATAAATAATAAGAGAGAATGGAGTATGCATATAATACTTGTAAAAGAATGACTGATATGTGTAATGCAAACTCACTATAGCAGCCGAACATGCAAGGTATTTTTTATCAATGCAAAGGTTTATAATTGAACAAAATGTTTATAATCTGATAAAATGAAACTTCTATATTTTTATAGAACAAATGTATCTATTGTAATTTGAAAGTCATAAATATAAGATATCAATAATTAATTTTACGTTTCTGTTTATCCGCGTGACTCATTTAAATGGAACACCGGTCACTATCGTCGGGCAAAACTTTTTTCGTTATCTTTAGAAAATCCTCCCATGGACAGTACTCAGGGCAACCTGGCAGTACGAGAGTCCTGAACTTCATCGGTATTCCAGTGTTAAATAAAATCTGTAGAAAAAAAAAGACCAAAGATTAATATTCAACACCAACCCGCATTATTACATACGATGTAATTACCTTAACGTAATAGCGACTTCTCTTTTTATAAAGCTCGAGTACGACAGCACTTCCATAGTTCGGTAAATCGTTATTCCAAACGTTGAGAGTCTGTAAAATAGCGGCTACATTGCTCGCATGGGCACTGTACAGAAAAACTTTTGGGCTATCGATTTTTTCATCCGGCAAAGTTTCGTTCGACTCGTTTATCTGTTTCGACACGGCCTTCAGAACTTCGCGCATGAACAATCCTTGAGAAGTGCGAGCAATATGTTACACACCGATATTCGATTTGCGGTGACGATGGCCATATGTATTTACTTACCTCCATTAAGTTTTTTCAAAACGTCGTTGTAACTGTAAGTTTTGTAAATAAAAAGCGCCACGTCTTTCAAAGGACCATTGGGATAATAATAGTCGGCCCAAGCGGGCAATTTGAGATTCATGGCTCGCTCCGCGTAAAACAGATGATAAAGCTTGTACATCGAGTACAGATCCTTGATCTCGCGACCGGTCAGTCTCGATAATTCCTTCTTCAGTTTATCGAATTTACGCACGTTCTTTTGATACTCCGCGCTCGATTGAATCCTTTTTAGCTCGGCGCCAAATCTATACGCACAATTCGGGAAAATAAAAAATGTAAGGCGAAAATAACCGCGCCCAGACGAGTCAAAGAGAATATTTCATTATGTATATTATACTTGGGGCAGAGATCGGAGTTCCAGTAATTCGGTTTGCCGTCGTCGGCCGTCGACACGGCGATCGGTATGGGCTGCCAATTCAGATTTTTGTTCCACACCTGGTCCTTTCTGGGCGGAAAGAAGCCCGCCAGGAGCAGCAGCAGGCTCATCTTCGTGCGGTCGTAATCCGTGCTGATCGCGTGAATATTCGTCGTGTCGTAGTCGTCGCCGAGCATGGCGCCGTATCTCTTTTTCAAGGAAACGCCCAGCTGGTATTCTCTGTTTTTTCCTTCCTGGTTTATTACGTGTAAAAATAGGAAGAAAGTGACTATTTTTATATTCGCTAGACTATATTTAGACAGCGCGTGGAAATGGTTGAATAATAATATTTATCGCGAGTTCAAGTTCGACGTATTACGAATTTAAACCGCGTGAAAAATCGATACTCTGCGTGGCATGGGCACGTTTCAACACTTACGTTCGTCAATTTTCCATATCCGAGCGATTTTATGTAATTTTTATGAGGATCGAGCGGATAAATTTCTGATTTCTTCGGGGTGCGATCGCCGTGCCTGAATATCTGAAATCGATATTTTACGATTCGTCATCATCAATATTTCGAATGAATCATTTTTTTACGTTGAAAAAATCACCCACAACACTGATCGATTTTAAATTGAACGAATAAACGACGGTGAAATGCAAAGCCAATAAGCATATAATAAGCCATTGTAAGAACTGCATTTTGCAAACTGAGCTTTTGGATTTTCAACGCAAAATCATCATCGTGAACTAACTTATATATCGTTAGCTCATTATTTTGCTCTTATCTAATCTATACTCACGTTCGGGCTATTCGATGCCGCAGCTAAGTTGTACAAACACCGTCGATTCGAGTAGCATCGACTTTATAATAACATACGTATAGTTCTTCAATTGTTTGAAAGATTATGAATTCTTGCGTCCTTTCGCTTCCTCATTTTCCTGATAATGAAAGGCAATGTTTTTTTAAAATTTTTATCGGGGGTTACAAAATAATTGTAAGGCAAAATAAATGTAATATTTGTAATGGTTATATTGTACTCGATTGAATTGATTTTATATCATTTTATTAATATTTTAATAAAATATTAAATTCATGTGTCACGAACATCAGCGTTTATTAATTCTCTTCCAATTACAATAAATTAATTTCTCATTAACTTGATCAAGTTTGAAATTTATAATAATTTAGATTTCAATTATGATAATTTATTATTCACTTTTTGAACTGAAATTCAACTGTAATTGCCGTTCGATTATAAAATAACTTTGGAAGAAAAAATGTTTGAGGGGCCAAATATCGAAAGCAACAAGTGTCAAAAAAGCAAGGTTCATTGTTGTTGTCGTTGTTATTATTTTTTTTATTCCATTACGTAATGCCACGCGGTATAATATTAATATCAATAATGACAATAATAATATTAATAATAACAATAGCTATAAAACGTGGGTGACATTATTTACTTCTAGCTTCTTCGAAAATCGCTTTAATTATTCATCTACGGCATAGAAGCTTTGTTAAATATTAAAGAATTACATTTGTGCATAAGAGCGGCCTATGAGCTTTTAAAAGCGAGGCTCAATTCAGTTTTCTGTCTCAACTCGAACAAAATGCACGAAAAATTAGCGATTGTTCTGCACTTTCATTTATCTTTGTCCGGGACGTTGAAATAAAATAATTCTTTTTTTTTAGTACTCGTTTTATTTGTGTGGCGTCGAAGTGTGGCTTGTTATTGTCGCCACACTTTTAGATGGATTTCGAACAACTGAAATCATGGAACTGGGTGAAATTTTTAGAGATAAACGCCGGCTGCTGGCCGTTTCAAAATCCAAGGAAAAATCTATACATACGGGTGTTTTCTTTTATGGCGATCGTTACGGTGTACATTCCATTGGTGAGTACTCGAGCTCGTTGTCTCTCTAAATCAAAAGTTAGAAAAGAAAAGTACGATACTTTGAAAATTTTTTAGGCAATAAAATTAATGCTCAGTTTAGACCAGTATCAAGAAATCGTGATAGAAAATTCATTGTTTTTAATGATTATCCACGGTCTCTTTGCCAAAAGTATAGTACTGTATTTGAACGAAAAACAGGTAGGGGCGTCTTGGGTGTTCTTTTTAAATTAAAATCTTCTCGAATTTTATATTAACGTTATAACTCCGAACTCACTAGAGAGGTGACTTGTACCGGGAAGCACTGTCTCATTTGGACGCGATGGACGACGAGGGAGAGAAAGAAATATTGCGAGTTAGCTCCGAGTCGGCGACCAAATGGATGTTGACGTATTTGTGTGAGTTCAACCTGTTTTTTCGTAATTTTTTCCAATTTACAAGCAATAATCTTACACATCGATCCGTTTACGACCCGAATTCGCGCAGTCACTACGATCACGTTGGGCAGTTTTTACCACATAATACCACTGGCGCACATTCACATGAATTACTTTCTGCGAGCCAATGCCACACCACCGCGACAATTGCTCCACATCAACGTCGAGTACTTCATGGAGGACGAGGACATCTATTACTACATCATCGGGCACTTCTTGATCGTTTTCGTCTTCGGCGGGATCTTGTTTTTCGCGCACGATCTGGGCTTCATGGCGCTCGTGAAAGACAACTGCGCCCTCTACGAAATTACCTGGTGAGAATTATCTCGGTAACTCCGTTTTTTTTTTTTAATAGCATCTTTGATTAAAAAATGACGCATTTTGCCTGTCACGCACGATAATAGCTATCGATTGAGAAATTGCTCGTCGAGGGGCAGCAGCGACAGTCGACGCTCGCAAGGCCTGGCCGACGATGAAATTCACGCCAACGTTCTCAGGGCCAATGACATGTACCAATTGGCAATGAGGTAAGTTAATTGCACCCGGGGATTTTATTCGAATGTTCATCTCATTTATTCTTTTGATTTTGTTTTTCGCAGCATCACCGATCGCATCGAGAAAGCCTACAACATAACGTGGTTCGTCTTGCTGGTGCAAAACATGTCGTCGTTCGGCACCTGCATCATGCTGGTAAGTATCGCTATCTAAATTTTCAACGATCTCAATTTCAATTTTTTCCATTTTTTTCAAGCTTTACATTCAAGAGGACCCGATCGAGTTCATTAGATACATCACGGTCGTCGGTTCGGGCTTGATACATTTCCAAACCATATTTTATTCAGGTCAAAAAATAATCGATAGCAGCCAAGCCATATATCACGCCTGGTATTTACACGATTTCAATATTCATTCAACGGCGCGATCATGTATCATTACCTTTGAATTCGCGCCAATCATTTTGTTTTTTTTTTTCGGACAGTTTTCACACCGATTGGTTCACCTTCCCGAGGAGGACGCGAAATTTGCTGATAATCATGATGATGCGCAGCGCCAAGCCGTGCAAGCTCACCGGCGGCAAAGCCTTCATTCTGTGCATGTCCACGATGCGGCAGGTACATAAGCTGTATGGACGCGCGAGAACGAGGCGCTCGCGCGCATATGAATAATTGATATTGAACAATTGTTCTAATTGTTTTTGTTTTCTCTCTTTGAACTTTTTTCTTTCTCGCAGTTCGTGCTGAAAGGCCTGGTGTACTTCCTCGTCTTTGCGGTTGAGTGATAAAATTAGAAGACGAGACAATGGAGGTGTCAGAGAAATTTGTACATATAGATATTACATCCGACTCGTTATATATTATAATTAATGTTTAATAATAAAAGAACAAAAAAAAAAAAAAAACTAAACAAAAACAATCGTCAATTCGTAATCTGTACGAGCAACGCCGTGCCCTTCAAAATCCAGTAGGCCTGCTCCCTCGAGGCGGGCAGCAGCACGGGCATGACGAAATTCGTGCTGTGGCCCGTGGTCGACAGGGTGCCCGCCCTGATGCTGGTCTTGTAGAGCGGCGCCACGTAGCGACGATCTTGGTCCGGCAGCTCGACCACGGGCATCACGTGCAGACAGGGCAGGGGCGGATTCATCTCGCCCTTGTTGGCGTCCGCGAGGCTCTGCGCGCGAAAGTCCCAGCGGCCGGCGTCGATGTACAGGCCGTGAACGAGCACGCCGTCCTCGGGCACCTGCAGGTTCTTGTAGACGCTCGGCACCTCCTTGTTGTTGGCCGCCTTGTGGGCGGTCTCGATGTCGTCCTGGTCCAGCACGACCTTGGTCACGGCGAAGTCGAGCTTCAGCTGGTCGATCGGTATGTTGTGCTTTCGCGCGTGGGTCTGCAGGATGCCCGTGATGAAGCCTTGCGGGAACGACAGGCCGGAGATCCAGAAGGAGGTGGGCTTGTCGACGGTCAACCACATCTATGCATGGATACGCGAAATCATCTCGGTCATGGTTGACAGTTTTTTTTTTATTTTATTTTACCTGTATGAAGTCTATTCTTAGCTCCAAATCTCTGATCCAGCTGCCCAAGCTCTTTAGCGACGGATAGACGTTTGTGTTGGCCCACAATCGGGGGACCTGATTATTCACCAAAGAGTTGAAAACGTTCTCGAGCTCCTCGGACATGACGATGAATCCCTTGATTGCCCGTTGTAAATTTTCCATCGACGTACGGATGACTTTCAATAAAATGTTGTACCTCTCGACTTCGTGCAGTAGCACGACGGTCAGCGAAGCCAATCTGCCGGTTTTGTCTTTCTTTTGTGCGATATAAAATGTTGATCGTAAAGAAAAAAATTGCTGAATACTTCGAGAGTCTGCGACGATTTTTCGGATTCTTACTTTGAGATGCTTCGGATGACACGTGTCTATGTCGATTTTCACCGCTATCTTCGACATTATCAGGTCGGCCAATTCGTAGGCGATATCGGCGCTCGACTTTCCCTCCCCACCAGAGCCAACTTTCGGCTGCACCTCCATGATGGTGTTCATCATGGTTTTCGACTCTTTCAACTGTATCGACATTTTATTTTGATGAATATTTTGCAAAAATACAAAAATGAATTTCATGCCGTACCTGAAAAGCGATATTGGCGTTTTCGTGCATGCCGAATATTTCCGGATCCTCGATAATGGGGAAAGTGTCGATGAATTCGCGATACTCGTCCAGAGTCTCGCGTACGGGACAGTAGTATTTTCCGGATGGCGAGTACACGTAAGCTGCAATCGACGATCATTTAAAGAGAATAAAATGTGATCGATTTAAAAATAACGAAAAAAACCTGTATCCAGCGTCATCGGCGAGAAGTAAGAGTGCAAAATGGTCTTCAAGCAGCGCAGATCCCAATTGTCGGTGATCCTTCCGCCGTAGGTGATCTCGCCGGTGGTGTAGATCAACGCGTCCCAGGGTATCGTCTCGTTCACGCAGAACATCTTGAGATTCAGCAGGCAGCACTCGCGATCGCTGTCGCTGAACTCGTAGATGATGTTCCAGCCGAGCGGGCCGAACTTCTTGCGCTCCTGTATGATGGCGTGAAAGAAGCACACGCCGAATATCATGCGGCGCCACCTCTCCGCGAGCTCGTGGCCCTGGAAGAAGTCCTCCTCGAGATCGAAGAAGGCCCGCTTGACGTTGGCCTTGAGGCCCTTGGGCGGCTCGTTCGTCACCTTGATCGAGTTCTGCAGCACCGACACGGGGAAGCCCGTGCTCGGCATCGAGCTCAGAAACAGCCGGAAGTCGTCGTGCACCGCGTGCGGATCCTCGGATATCTCGATGACTATGCTCTCGAGCTCGAGCATCCACGAGGTGGCCAGGTGACAGTTCTGCAAGAATATCCACTTGCCCTTGTCGCAGCCGTCGCGGATGAGAGCCTCGGCGATCGGACCTTGTCCTTGGCCCAGAGATATCGACTCGAATCTAGAGTTGAAACGTTTTCTCGGTCACAAGAGTTATAGTCAGGAGAATTTTGCTGAATTACCTTTCACCGAAGCCCATCTCGAAGGCGAATTTCATGAAGACGTTGAAGGGATCCGAGCCGGTGCTCAGCACGAACACCAACGGAGTCTCTTTCGACGTGTCTGGGAATCTTTACGAAAATTTTCCCTTGAAACGCGGACTCGATATAATGTTAAAAATGTATCGACTCGATCGCTACTTACAAAACCTGCAGCGAAATCATGGGAGACTCGACGTACTTCTGTCCCATGTTTTTCTTCACGAAGGCCGTGATACCGAAGATCAATTTTTCCTCTTTCAAGGCCTTCAAAAGCATGAGCTTCTCGATGTCGGTGAGTATTTCGTTCCACTTGTGCTTGGATGATTGCTTGTTGTCGGGTAAAATATTGATGTGCTAAAGATTTAGAGTTTTTCGTTAAAATAAAATCAATATTTTTTTTTTTTATTAAAGTTTAATAACTTGCCTCTTCGTAAACGTCAATGTTGATGGTTATTTTTTTAAATATGTCGTCCATTATGTGCTCGAAAACGGGAAAATTATTGGCGAGATAATTGGCGCTGCTCCACATTGGATCAGTGAGAGTTGGATAATCCGGTTTCTTGATCTACCGAAGAAAATTGTATTCGAGTATTCAACCGATTTTCTTTTTTATTTCACGTCGTAATCGTACCGTGGTCAATTGATCCGGCCCTCGCAGCAGAAAATTCCACTGACTACTCTTAACCGTGCCCGCGTCCAGCAGTATGGCGATGTTCATCATGAAGCTGTAAACGATCTTGTGCCTCTCGAAGAGTCCTCGCGACACGTTGGTGAATATGGCCATGGTGATCTCGTCGCAGAGAATCTGCAGTCGTTGCTGCAGATCCGGCACCTTCTCGCTCGTCTGCGTCACCGTGTTGACGATCTGATTGAAGTACTTGAGCGAGAACTGATACATCGAGTCGATGATGGCCAGATTCGCCACGACGAAGTAGAGCACCGAGCCACGTGTGGCCACTCGGCGATAGTCCTCGCGCGCCCCCGAGATCTCGACCTCGGTGGCCTCGGTGTCGATGAGGCGCGACGCTATCACCGCCGACGTCTCCTTGCTCTCGTTCAGCGTCTCGATCAGCTCCTCGTTGTCGAGTATGTTGCCCTCGGAGCTGAACAGCAGCGTCAGGATGCGATCCTCGATGCCGTCCAGCTGGCTCTTGTCGGCGTTGATCTGGGCGATGAGCTCGTTGCGCATCGTCTCGAGCTCGGGTTTCTCGATGCGCACGACGTCGCTGCGCGAACGTAACGGACGCGTTGAGAAAATCGAGTACGTACAGTATCGAAGGAAATTTTGGCTCGTTCGCTCACGCCAGTAGCTGATCCTCCAGTCCACTGGGGGTGACGGTGAAATTGACGATGGTCACTTTGATGCAGATCTCAGGCAGGTAGTGCGGATTCGCCATCTTCGTCGTTATGTACAGGCGGAAATTCGCGTCGTACTCGACGTCGTTGTCACCGAGACGGATCAACGTTCGGCCACCCTAGTTAGATCCCAACAATTCGATCATCCTTACGAATACAATCTCACATAGTGGTGAGGTTAAAAAAATCCCTCTTTAAGTTTTTCGGATAAGAAAATCTCTTCAGAATAATTGTGGAGAAAAAAACTCTCCTGAAATGGACTTTTTAACTTTCCAAAAAAAAAACCTATATTTTTCCCCAAATTTTCCCTGGGCTTGTTCGCCAAATATTTTTTCCCCTCTAATTGAAGAAAAAAAATTTTCCATGACCACTGTTTCCTCTGGGGAGATTTTCTTGAACGCATTTTCAAAAGGAAGATTTTCTTCTCCGCATTTTCGAAAGAGAGATTTTTTTATGTTTTAGAGATAGTCTTCGGAGGAACGATGAAATTGGATTTTTAGAGGCGGAAGAACGAAGCTAACATTACATGCCAAGAACTTCGCTTTTTCTCTTGCGATTTCTCGATAATTTGAACATACGCCATCTAGCGGTAGTTTAGGTACTAATACAGTATTCACGTCGTTAATGACGAAACCAATAGACGCCTCAGAGGAGACTTACAAAGCCACGTTAATTAAAGAATTGTGGTTGTGATTTTTTTGAGGAAAGGGGGTAGTATGAATCCCACTACTAGAAAAGAGCAATTACAGCTTAGCCCGGCTACGTAATTTTACTATAGCAGTGAAAGTCGCACCTGTACAAAAGTCTGCTTCAGCAGTATCGGCTCGAGGCTGGGATCGAGCGTCTCGCCGATCTCCTGCAGCAGAATCGGCGTGCCCGTGCTGATGCAGGCCTCCATCGTGCGCATGAAGTTGCCGTCGGTCATCTTGCAGGCCCTGATGCCGTGCTGCTGCTCCATCGAGCGTATCCAGCGATTGGCCTGCTCCTGCGGGTCGATCATGAGGGGCCAGCGACCCGCCTGGGTCACCAGTATGGCGTTCTCCGTGCTCACCTGGTCCCTGGGCAGGCCGAAACTGTTCCAGACGCGCACGTCGTACGGGTCCGCGAGGACGTTGACGATACTGAAATTCGGGGTAGTGACGATCTCGAGCCTCTCGCAGTTCTCCAGCCACGTGGTCAGCAGGAGTTCGCGGTAAAAACTGGTGAAGGCGCCCAGGTAGGCCAGGCCACCCGCGGCTACGAGTGTGTCGCCCGCGATGCAAGCCATCTGCTTCTCGAACTCCTTCATCTCCTCGATCCATCGGACCTCCTCGTCGGCCAGGGCCGAGGTCAGTCTCTCCGATCGGCCCAGTCGAGCCTCGCTCAGCACCATCGTGTACTCCAGATCGGCCAGTCGCTTGACGGCGCCGTCGTACTGGTTCTGGAGATTTTTGATCTGCCTCTCGACGCTCGCCAACGCCTCCTGCTTTTCGCGCAGAATCTCGGCGATAATTTCCATCTCCTCCGCGGCTTCCTTCAGTCTTTAGAAAGAGCGAAAGGTGGATTGGCAGGATGTACATCGAGGAAAAAAGTTGATGCCAAAAGCTCGGACTAACTTTTGCTTCTTCGGCTCGACGATTCGTGATATTTTGGCGTAGCCGTCGACCGCTCGTACCCAAATGCAAAAGGACTTGCACACTTTGCTCTGTTTGGCCACGATATCGGGCCAAAAATCTTTATTCATGGTGTACGTTTGCAGCTTCTTCAACAATTTGTCGCTGACGCTGTCTATAGGATAAGCTATCAAGCGTTCTAAAAATTTGAGATCGCTCAAAATGCTCTTTGCCGTTTGCCAATCGGGTCTGGTAAGAAGGTAAATCGTTACTATTCAAGAGCTTTTCGATCATCGCTTAAATGTAAGTTATCCTAAATTGTTTCTTATTACTTTTCTCCCAGTAGCAAACAAACCGCTTCCAAGACGAAACGAACCAGTGGTGGTGGTTTATTAAACACTTTGATTTCATTGATGTCGTTCTTATTTAAAGCGGCCAAGGCATTTTGAGCTTCCTGCAGGGCCGGCAAAGCAGCTTCCAGATCTTTTCGAGCTTCTTGCTCCAAGGCCTCGGTCATTTCCGCTTGAGCCTAATTCATTTTTTGTTTTAAATGAAGATTATTCAATGAATAAATGATCCTACGACCACAATTAAAATCATACAAAATGTGTTTACTTTAGCAACTGCCTCGTCCGCGGCTACGACTTCTCGTACTTTATCGACCTCTGCCTTTTCTTTCGCGACGATTATCATCAATTTACCCACCTCCTCGGAATTGATTTTCAATTGGGGCTTCAAAGCGATGATGTTGACCTTCATCACAGCTACCATTTCGTTGGTCTCTTTTAGTTTCTAATAGTAAAAGAATGACGTAGTAAATGTATTTGAGATATTTTTTTTCGACAGCATATGAAAAATATATTACATTCAAACCATTGCCGATTCTACTCCTCTTCGTGCCGATTTTCGTATTTTTCATATCGAACGTGTTCAAATATAACTTCAACAGGTCCAAATAGCTGCTCGGAGTCGTGTAATACCTGCGTCTCATTTCTTCGAAGAATCTCACCGTCATTGCCTCGACACTCTGCAGATGTCAAATTGTGAAGTTTCGCGCCAAAAACTTTATATTAAACTAGCCTTTTTCAGTGCTCTGCGTGCATAAAAAATCATACACTACTGAACATTATCAGGAATTCAAAAGCTTGCAATCTATGCATCATCACCAGTCACGAAACGTTTACTTTGAAGACGCAACCAAGCTTTCGAACGCATTAATTTTTTATGAATCGAGATATACTGTACAATTACCGCTCATTTCATTTTTAATATCACCTGTGTAATATAATTATGTATTGTATCGGTGTGGATTCGAATACATTTCTCATTTGAGTAAATGTTTCGTAAGTACAGTTAGGTATGGCTTCTTTATGTTCGCTATGATATGTTTTGAAGCGATCGATTTATATGCTTTTTTTTGTTCTTCAGAGTGAAAGAAGAATCGAATGATACTTAGTCGGATGCAGGCGATAATATTTTCGATTCGATAGACTCTTGTGAAGCCAAAAACTTTGAAACATCTCCGTTTTACGAATCACCGGTGAGTTCGATAATTTGAATGACATTCTAATATCTCACTATCAAAATATATTTATACAAATTGAATTTTAGGATAACAACGCGAATGAGGTTATGACATTACAGCAAAAGGTGGATAAAAAGATATTCATTGATTTTGAGTGCAAGTATGTTAAACCTGAACTGCCGTCTCTATCAGCGACCGCTTGCAAAACTGAGGATCAAAGCCTTCTATCTATTATTAAAATAGAAAACGAGAATCAGATCAATAATAAAAATGAACATATATTCATTGATTATACAGTACAAAATCGTGACAAGCCCTTCGAATGTGAGATATGTCACAAATCATTTGGATACCAGAGTGATACCTTTGAACTTCGAAATTACTGCAGTACATGATTGTAGGAGGCCCTAAGAACATGAGACATGTTCCGACATATTTAGACATAGCGATAAGGATCCTACTATCACAGGACTACGCTATGTAATTTAAGAAAATTTTTTCAATCAAATATTCTTGAATTTTTTTGAAGAATAATAAAGTATTTCAAATTTTCTATAATTTTTGTTGTTGTAATTGTGAACAAGCGTTTTACTAACCTTTCTACATCAACTACAACATAAACCATATTTCTCAAGTACCCTGTCTTGAATGTTAAAAAACCTTCATCTCGAAGCAATAATTATTTTTAAACTTCCCTCGCTTCAATTGTTTCTCATACTCGCGGAATATGGAACAGATTATAGAATATCGTGTATATATTATAACTTTTTACAATGGTCAAAAAAATTAAAAATTCACCTCGTGCATGAGAACGCAAATAGACGCCAGAGAGTGAACTTTTTCCTCGTCGTCCGCGATCACGGTGCTGATTGTTTTAACTGCCACGGACAGGAGAGCTTCGTTCGGCCACTTGGAGTACCAATCGATTGTGCAGCAATTGACGAGCGACGGAAACATCCGACAACGACGGCTATATAAGAAAAAATGTTATTTTTGTTAGACTTTGCTTCGGTAAGGGGTCAATGAAATTTTTTTTTTTTTTGTAAAGACCGAAATGCCTCTCCGACTGGACTCATGCAGAGCATCAGATGCAGATAGTTCCTCACGCGGCCTATGAAGTACAAATAAATGGCGTCGCGGTTGGACTCGTCGATGCCGGCTTCCTTGGCCGCGGGTCTCGTAGCTATGATGGCGCGTTCGAGCTCGTCGGCTTCGAATAAATTAGGCACCTCTCCTGTTCCCGCGTAGTAATATCAATGATGATAACTCGTGAATAAATTAACAAGATAACTTGACAATTAAATTTTTTTTGTACGGTAAATACCTGAATTCAATGTATTGTTAATGTCCTCGAGAAATTCCTCGACGACGATCTGAGTGTCGGTGAACAGAAACGTCTCGTGCTCCGCGTAGGCGCCCGGCCGGAAGTAAAATTTACGCAAGTCTTCGTTCCAGGCGTTTTTGTCGTAGCCTCGGCTGACTTCGATCTGGTGACACCTGCGAAGTTACGCGAGCCACCGTTGAATCTTTCGAAACATTGAAAATCGATCGAGTCCCACCTGTATCCGTTCATGTGCGAGGCCAATCTGGTCAAGCTCTGCTTTCCCATGCCACCGACGCCCACCAGCAACCCGTTGCCCCTCTCCGATCTCAGTATCCTGGCCAATCTGCACAGGTGCTCGATGGCGTCCAGGAAAAATATCAGACCCATGTCCTTGGACGTCTGCACGCAGTAGTCGTCCAGATAATCCTGAAGCACGACTCGGGTGCGATCGAGATCGACGATCTCCTCGTACAGACGTTTCTCGGGCGGCGCGCCGAACTCGAGAAAGTCGCCGTAGAGCAGCAGCGGCGGATTGGCCATGAGCTCCTCGTCGGTCTCGGGCAGCTCGAGGACGGCGTCGCTGAAGGTCGTGCTGCAGATGCCCGACAGCAGCCGATAGAAGTACGTCTTGTCCTGGGAATTGATGAGGCGATCGTGGAAGACTCGCAGGCACTCGTGATAGAAGAGCCTGAGCAGGTGCTTGGCCTCGCGAACCACCCCGGAGTCGGCTTGCAGTATGCCCTGGATGCACTTGGAGAGATCGCGAAGGTTGAATATGTAGTGACTCTTCTCGGGGGTGGGCAGAAGGTCCTCGGCTATTCGACCGTAGATCTCGACGGCGGCGCTGACTACTCTGTCGCCGATGTCGACCACCGGTTGGGCGAAATCCTTCAGAAATCCTCTCATGATGGATCTGTACGAGGACGATACAACGAGATGTTATGTCGAGCGTCCGAATCTCGAGCTTGAGAGCTTCGGGAATGGCTGTCGGCCTCACCTGAATATGGACTTTAACGAGTCCTCGGTGGGCGACGGAATGACCAGCATGGCGAAGTGTCGCATCAATCTGGGCGTGATGGGATTTCGACCGCCACCAGGTGGCGCGCAAGCGGCGCTCAGAACCACGTCCTGTATGTATTTCCAGTATATCTTGTCTTTGTTGTAGAAACCTCCGCTGTCCACTACCTGCCTGTAAAATTCGAGTGTTATTGCAGGGTTTAAAAATATTTTATACTAAAATTAAGGTAGAAGTGTAGAACTGTTTGCTAGACATTTTATTTCCTCACAATTTGATTTTTCTTGGAATCATTTATACAATCATTTTTACTGTGCCACTTGAAGATTTACAGAATAAAGTTACTCACCATCCAGCGGTGGATGTTGGCAATAATTGTCATTACATCTTTTAAAAGTCATATTTTTTGAGAAATGAAAAAACAAAAGTCAGTATTGAAAGTTTGAGGATCGTGCATAGAGTTAAATTCATGTCATTCATTTTTATATTAAAACCAATGTATGGTATTCTTGCATTTTTGCAGATTACGTAAAGAAATAAATTATTACAGTTACATTGATTCTGAACGAATATTCCACGCGAAAGTACCTTGAATATCGTTCAACGTCAGTCACGTCAATTTTAATGCTCGACTTTTAAATCTGTAATAAACTCAAGGTACCCCGATCGTTTTTAATAATCGTAATCAGCAAACCTTATCAATTCGATGGGCGGCTGAGAGCCGTAAGTATCGAGCTTGGGCATGTTGATGTCGTCGATGAACACGCAGACTCTCTTGCCGACTTTGGCCCCCAGCACCGTCTTCTTCTTTTTCTCGAGCTTCAGCTCGAGAATCTCTTGGGTCTGGCCGCTGCTCGTCTGGGCGGAAAAGTTCAGCACGATCGGGGTCCACTTGCCGGACGACTCCATCGTGTTCAGCACCAATTTGGCGATCACCGATTTACCGACGCCTGTGTTGCACGACGACGAGGTATGTTATATCGTATCGTCGTTTTGCCGAACGGAACTGGCAATCGAGTACCTGTGCTTCCGGTAAAGAGAACGGGCTTGTTGACCTGCAGCAATTTTTCCATGACGTAGCCGAAGCGAACCGTGTCGATGGTCGGCACGAGGACCTCGAAGAACGGCACCGCGGGGTCGAACGTGAACGTAGGCATGAGTTTTTTCCACACCTCCATGCGCTTGTCTTGGGTATTGACGAAGAGATCCCACAGATCGGAGGACGACGGCAAACTTGACGCGACGAAATGAGTTCAGTAGTTCACACACACACATTCAGCGAAACTCACTTGGCATTCACGTCGTTGTCGAAGAGCTCTCTGACGAAGTACTCGAAGGTCTCCCTCGAGTTATCCACGACGTTACCGCCTATGGACCAGATGTACGAGAACACGAAGGCCTGGGTCAAGAAAGTCTTGATCTTGCTGAGATCGGCGGTCCGGTCGATGGCCCCGGGCTCGAGGATCAGACTCTCCAGCAGGGCGCACAGCATCGACACCTTGCTGATGTCCACCTGGGCGATGGCGTGGTCGCAGTTCTTCCGGAAGAACACCAAGCCGGCCTCGACGTACTTGGAGAACAGCTCGAGCAGAAACGGCGCTATCTCCTTCTTGAACAGCCGCTCCGAGATCGTGGCTATCCAGGTCTTCACGTAGGGCATCCACTTGAGCTCCGTCGGATCGAGATAGACCATGCCGCAGCGGCTGACCGTGGCGGGCGAGGCCTGGGCCAGATCGGCCACCTCGAAGATCATGTGCACGTAGGGCGTGAGCTTGATGCGCTCGGAATTGGCGAGGCAGAGCATCTTGTTGTCGTCGAGCACGGTGTTCATGTTCTCGATCCAGACGGCGTCCACCGGTCCGTCGCAGACGACCCACTGGTGGTCCTCGCTCTGGGCGGCGCAGGCTATGCGCACGACGACCCCCAGCAGGCCGTCGTGCCACTCGTTCGAGGCGAGACTCACCTCGCCGTAGAGCTCGCCCATCGTCACGGCTTTCGGATTCATCGTGTACATGAGCACCTTCTGGTAGTACTGATTCTTTATTCCCATTTCGTTCAGTCTGCCGTAAGATTCTTTGAGAACCTGCCCGAGGCGAGCGACGACAAGCAAAATTAATGCAGGTTTTCCTGATTTTCGTCGAATGCGCGAGACTCACGTTGAGAACTGTTGTTTTACCGGCTCCGGTGGGCCCTACCAGCATCACTCCGTGTCTCACGCGCATCGTCTCGTGCAGCTGAATGACTTTGTTTATCGAGCAGGCCTCCGGTTGCAACAGCGACTCTTTCATAATCTACGCATCGAACGGGAAGAAAATAATAAATTTCGGAAACGAATGGAATAAAATGATGATCGTTACTTCTACGGCGGTTTGTTGGAGCACTCCGTAATCTTCTTCGGGCAAAACTACCCCGGGAAACAGATCTCCCAGTATACCCTGAAACAGCTCGGCATCGTCGGCCAAAAATTTCGGCAGATTACTGTCTCTGAGAGCCCTTATGAGGACGATGTTCTCGTGGATGTCCGGATTGTCGCGTTTCAAGCTGCCCGCCATCACGAGCACACTCTTGACGGCCCTGATAGAAAAAAAATTAGCCTTTAATGCGCTATCATCGCGAGGTCAATTGGACTGTACCTCATTCCAAAATCGTAATGATCCTGCTGGGACAGCTGCTCGCTGCACAGAGTGTACATGAGGGTCATCTTTTTCGACAGAGGTTTCGACGACTCGAAACCCTCGGAGTACAGGGTCACTTCGGCGATCAGCTCTGAAAGCGACAATCGGGAGTAAGGGGGATTTTTCTAAAAATGTTGACTCTTTGCAGGGGTTGACTCACTGTAATCGGGTACCATCATGGACACGGGGCGAAAGAGGGACTTGAGATTGTCCGGCAGCTCCGTTCGACCGGCGTATCCGGGATTCATGGTGATGAACGACGCGCAAGACATGACCAATCTTATCTTGCGGCCTTCGAACATGAACCTGTTATGCATTATTTAAAAGTCATGACTCGTTAATCAGAGAGCCAACTCAGCCCTATGGATGTGATTATTACTCTTTGGCTCGAATGAGTTTGGCGTTTCTAATGGTGATGAGTTGCTGGGCTATGACCGAAAGCACCTCGATGTCGATACGATTGAACTCGTCGAAGCAGCACCAGGCGCCGGAGGTCGCGAGCCCGGAGAAGAATCGACCCATCATCTATACCGGCATCGATATCGTTGCGCCGATCAATTTGCGAGATTCGAGAGAGCATATATGTATATTCATACTTTATAGTCGAGTCCCTCGGAGCAGTTGAACACGACGCACTGTATGGCCAGGGCCTTGGCCAGATCCTTGGTCGTCTCGGTCTTGCCCGTGCCCGCGGGACCGGCCGGCGCCCCGCCCAGATCCAGCTGCAGAGCTCCCATCAGGCAGAGGTAGCACTTGTCGGTCAGCGGGGTGATGACCAGTCTGCGCTGCGCGCCCAGGTACTCGTAGCCGTAGAGGTACTCGGCGTTGCTCATCCTCGCGTAGCAATTGTCCCGGCTCTTGTCCCAGTAGTAGCGCAGCGCCTTGGTCCAGTCGAAGCTCTTGCTGATCGATTCGAGTACAGATAGTTCAGAACGAGAGGGGGGGGGGGGGGGGGGGGGGGGGGGGGGGNGGGGTTACCTGGACGAGACCTGATTCTCGACGAGGATCGAGATGGTGTCGCGGGCGTGCACGTCCACGGTTATGAGATTGATGATGACGTCGCGCACGAGTTTGGGCAGCTCGCCTCGCACCAGGGCTGCCAGTTCGTTCAAGTTCTTTGGTTTGTGCAACGAGGGGCCAGGTGTGAAGATTTTTATCGTGTATAATTTTTTGTATCACATTGTATCGCGTTGGGAGCTCACTTTGTAGGATTTGGCCTCGAAACCCTTCATGTTGCCGATCGGGTCCGCGGAGTCGAGTATCTTGTGCACGTCGGCCGCCCAGAATATTTGCGAAACCGTCAGAACGATCTGTATACACGAACGCAACGCAGAAACTCAAGCCTCGAATTTTTGCAAAAAAAAAAAATAAAATCAAATATCTCTACGACGGTAGTAGAACCTGCGAGGGATAGTTCCAGATCACGTGCTTTCTGCCCTTCTTCGGGTAATCCGCCAGGGCCAGCTCCATGTTCTTCTTCAGATTCACGAACATGGCCTGCTCGACCTTGTTGAGCCAGTTCTCGACGTTGCCGCGGGCTTTCAATCCTTTTCCGAGCTCGACGCGCTCGCCCTCGGGCGACACCATGGCCAGGATGTCGTCGGACAGGGCTTTGCCGCCCTTGTCGTCGACGGGAGCGAAATCCAGCCGGAATATGGCGTCGAAGCACTTTTGGAGGTGACGTTGAACGGCGTGAGGGTTTCTCGTCTTGACGGGGGAAAGGACGAAAGGATTTGGTTGCGTGAGCGAGGTATAAATTATTCGAACGATTGTTTTTTTCACAGTTATTTATAAAATTTACGAGTCTTATAAAATGTCGAATTCGATCGATCGCTGCATATCTTATACCTGTGATAAAATTTCTAAAAGTTCATCGTTAGACAGGAAGAAAAATCGAGGGAAGGCTATCCTCTTGGTCTCGAGATAAGCCTCGAGGCACTTGAGTATCTTGTCGAGGCTGCGATTGTTCTCGGTGAACTGCTCGTACAGTCCCGGCTGCGTGCAGTTCTCCAGGGCCAGGGGCATCTTCGCCACCTTCCTCATGATGTCCTTCCAGGACTTGTCGACGGCGACGAAGAGCTTGGCCTCGATGGGCAGCTGTCGCTGTATGTCCGGCGCCGAGAATATCGCCTCGAGGTAGAGCCACTGCTGCTGGCAGTACTGCCAGGCCTCCAGCGTCCTGGCGAAGAGATCGAGCCGCTTGAGCCAGTCGTCGACTCGCGGCTTGATCGGGGCCACGTGCCTCGACGCCGCTATCGTCTGTATGGTGATGTTGCTGTCGTCCAGGGCGGTCTGCACCTCCTCGAGCGTGCCCAGCACGAATATGTCCTTGGCGTCCTTGTGGTTGTTGACGACGAACTCGATGATCTTCCAGGTCTCCTCGATCTTGGCGAGCATCGCCTCGAGGCCCGCCTCGGAACTGGCCGAGCTCGATATCTCCATGAGCTCGTTCTGATAGCCGAAGGCGCCGAGGTCCTCGATTATGCGCAGATTCAGAGGATCGTCCGGCTTGAATTTGTAGTTGAGCAGGAGCTCGATCTTCGTCCAGTGACGCTGTCGTAAGTTCGGATTGCGCAGGCAGCCGATTATCGGCATTTTGTCCTTGAACGTCTCGACCTTTTCTGCGCGTAGACAATGATAGTGAGTCAACGCGAAATATCACGTAGAATCGAAGGAAATTTTATAGATACCTTTGAGCTGCGGCACGATGACGTTGACCGGCAAGCCTTTCTCCAGCTGCATGATGTTCTTGAGATTTTTCGTCACGAAGTTGTTCATGTCCTCGACGTTGAGTGTCTCGAACTCGTCCTGGTACCACTTGGCGATGGTCGTGTCCCAGGCCAGCAGACTGTCCCACAGCATGAGCCTGAGCTTGACCTCGTCCACCACCTGCTCGAGTATCTCGAATCGCGTCATCTCGACCTTGAAGGACTTCTGGAAGCTGCGATAGTCGCTGGCCAGGCTCGAGCACTCGGTCAGTCGGTCGTTGAGGTCGATCAGCGCCTCGAGGCAGACGTTGACGTCGCTCTCCGGGTCGAGCAGCCAGGACTGCGTCGTCTCGTCGTTGATCCTCTGTATCTCGTCGACGAGGATATTGATGTCCTTCTGTATCTGCGCGTTGAACTTGGTGACGAGCTTGGTTCTCTCCTCGAGGCGCTTGTCCACCGACAGCCTCAGCGTCGTGAAGTACACGCTTATTCCCTGATTCGATCGAGGTTCGTTATTTTCTTTCTCACGAACAGAGCGGATGATAATATAACATATGTACCAGATAGGTGGACATGTCTTGCGGCGGCACGGCAATGTTGTACTCTCCCATGATGTCGTAGAGCTCCTTGATGTAATCGAGCTCGGACTCCATGGCGTCGACCTTGCTCTGCGCCTTGTCCACGAACTTGATGAAGGCCACGTAGTCGTCGGTGGTCACGGGATCGATGCCCAAGAACTCGATCGCGTCCTCGGCTTCCTTCAGCAGGGCGTCGACTCGCTTCTTGCCCAACCTTTTTTTTCGGGCAACGAACGACGCTTTCTAACATATCGTATGTATAAAAATACAAAAAAAAAAGGACGAGAGAGATCTCACTTGGGCAGCACGACGGCCAGCAGCGCCTGTTTCCTGTTGGGCGCCGGCAGGGCCGACTCCTTGAATCTCCGAAACTTGAGATAAAAGATGCCCATCGACTGCTGATCCACGATCGCGTTGATCTCCTGCTCCTCCCGGCGATATCTCTCGCACCACTGGCGAAACAGCTCGTACTTGAGATTGTCGCGTATCACGCGCTCGTCGAAGGCCATGTCCTCCTCGTAGTACTCGTGGATGTGGCGGAATCGCTCGCAGTACTTCTTCACCGCGTCGAAGTTCCGCTGGACGACGTCGCGCAGAGTCAGCTTGTAGCCTGTGAGCACGCGGTCGTCCTGGAAGAGAGCGGCCACGTCCACGGCCTCGGCGCAGATGGGCGGCTCGATTTTCTTGTTTATCAGCGGTCGGGTGAACTTGTAAAACAGCTCGTCGGACAGGAACGGCCTGATGCTCTTCAGCTTCTCCTCCCACATGGACTGCAGCGTCTGCAGGACGTGCCAGATTATTTCCTCCGCGGGATCGAACACGATGCCGGTGCCGGGCTTGATCAGCAGGTCCACGTCGAAGTACGGAAACTGCGATGGAAAGAACGAACGTTACTACCGCTCGAAAAGCCGATGATTCACGCGCGATTCCCTATATTCATTTACCTGTGTTCTAGGCGTTCGCTTGTTATCGAAGACGAAATCCACCCTCGTGTCCTCGTACTCTCTGGCGCACGGCAAGTATTTCGTGTGGCGCTTCAGCACCGTCAAAAGCTCCTCGTAGGTATTGCGCACCAGTGTGCGCATCATCGTCGCTTGATTGAAGTCGACGAAACGTATGAAACTATGAAGAAATCATTGAATCACGCGCGAAATAACAGAATTTCAAAATCAAATCGACTTCGCGCGTACCTGGAAATCGTCAAGCATTTCGTCTTTTTCCTCGCCTGCTCGACGTAGCTCATTTTCAATATTCCGTCCTTCGGCATCTTGACTTTTCCGCCGATTTTCGCGAGAGCGGTCTGCTCCAGGGTGATGTTCGAGTCGTCGGGCGTGAATCCGGCGTCGAGCAGCGACCTCAGACACGCGCCGTCCAAAATACCGATTACGGTCTTTCTGTCTCTCTTCAATTTTTCCACGATGTCCTCCAATTGCTCGAACTTGATTGAAAAAGAACGTTTTTATTTTCTCTCGAATCGTTCGACGTTACGGTTGTTATTATCGCGTGTACCACCCACTTGCAACTCGACGAAGGCGAACAGAGCGAGTTTCTGCACGATCGACACGTTGACCAGGGAAGAATCGATGTAGCAGCTGCTGATCGCCTTGACCCGCAGCAGAGCCGCTCTGAACACGTCGTCGCAATGAAACAGGTGGCCGTTCATGTGGCTCATGGCGCGCGTGATTTTCGTGTAGAAGACGATCTTTCGCCAGACGTTGAACGCCTTCCATTTGCGGAACAGCCGAAAGGTTCTGATCTATGGAAATAAAGCATCGAAAAAAAAAGAGAAAGAAACAATTAGGTATATATTTTCAATCGTTTATCTCCTCATACAGTATAGTACCTTGACGAGGAGCAGATAATCGTTGTACTCTCGCTGCCACTGATCGATGGGCGTGAAAACGACTTCGGTCGGGCTGTACTGCGTCACGCCGTCTCGGCCCATTGTCAAGTAGACCTTATCGATTTTCTTGTACGGCACTATACTATAAGATAATTATTACACGCGCTCAAAATGGCTATATATTCGTATATTACAATACGCAGCGGTAGACGCTAGCCGACGGCCGGCAAGACTGCGTGTAATTTCGACGAAGCCCAGTTTCTTTGTTTGTAACGTGAAATAATTTAGCTTCCCAGTAGTGTGTCAACATACTCACGTCAGGGCGTAGGGGTGAAAAAACTTGGAGGATCGATCCACCGCGTAAATCATGTAGTAAAAGTACACGCCCGGCTCGGACTTTAATTTCTCGATCAGTTTCAGCTGATCCGCGAATACGGGCTGCTGATCGAGCCTGAGTCCAGAGGAATGCGTCGATTCTGTCTCTTTTGAAAATTTCGCCAAGAGTTGTTCGTTGACTGAAACGATTCGATTAAAAAATACAAAATTAAAAATTAAAAATGACGAGAATTTACACTTTGAATATTTACGTTTCGACGGTCTCTGCTTGATGAACAAGCTCTTCCTCGGCGTGTCCCACGGCGGATCCTCGACTTCTTTCACCGGCACGCTGGGCTTCGTCACTAACCTTCTGATATTTTCCTGCTTCTCCAAGAATCCCGTCTAAAAACATTACAATTCGCGTCAAACGACGAAGCACTCGGTGAAAATAGAATGCAAGCCATTTACCAGTGGTTCTGGTAGCATACTTTTCATTCTGTCGCGCGGAAAAAAATCACTTTCAATTAATAAAAAAAACACCACATATTTTTAAAGAACCGAAGAACTATTGATTGCCATTCAGGATCGTACGTTTCGTTTTTGATGCGCGTCAAGTCACTTTGTGCTTGCAACAGCTGATCGGGTGGACACGTCCGATGCACGTGTGGTCCATCGCCCGAGGATTTCGGCCTCTTGCACGTGTCCTCGTTCATTGTGTAATTAGTTTTATTTACTTAATCTACCTATACGAACAAAAAACTTAAACTAAACTTATCACTAAGTATCTTAAACAATTTTTTTTTCTTCGACGAAAAGCTTTTTGTTTATCTTTCTTTGTGGCCACCACGAGCAGAAAGCGGCAACAGTCGAGCCGCTCGCTCGCTCTCTCCCTTATAAAAAAAGGCATAGCATAAAAGACACATCTCTGACACACGGGCTGAAGTTAGCCGTACGCTATCGACTTAACAAATGAATTATACCTCATCAGATTGGCATATATCGCGGATGTATGTGCCTGCGCACGCCAACTCGTTCGAGCGAGCTGCTACCACACATACCGCTTGGAGTGAGCAACGAAAAAGCGGAATTCCAGGACAGGCCGTCGTGTGTGCGGTGTGCACCGGAGGAGATCGTTGCGTGCGGCATGAAACCGCTACTCGCGGCGCGCCGGAACTCTTGCGTGATGCATCCTACTACATAGCCGCGCGCGCGCTCACGTCGAGCTTTGTTTATACAATTAGATGGCTAATTTACTCGGATATTAAATACTCGTCGCTTTGGTTTGGGGAGAGCGACGGCAGGCTACATTTGAATTAATTTACAAATTACTTTATCGTTATCGGCGAAAACATTTCAGGAGTATAATACGATGAATTTTATCAAATGTAAAATGTACATGTTATTTTTTAATAAAAATGCACACGTGTAATTGTGTTAAAAATAAATTTTTTCATCATCGATGAAAACGACTCTAATCAATTGTGGGTTATGGATCACACTAATCTCTATCGCGCGGGAAAGGCAAATTTTGGAATGAATGTCAAAATTTTTTATTATACACGTGTATAAAGATCTATTTGCTTGATGTTGTCCGTCGGTAGTTCGTTTAAAAGTACTTAATTTTAATAGGTCAAAATATTTCTCGAAAAAACCGTAGCCAAATTGGAATTCAAAACTCGTTCAAATGATGTATGAAATATGTATAAACAGATAAATCGGTACCTTAATTGTAAACAATATGATCATTAACGATTTTGACATCGTCCCTCGAAACACTGATCATATTTATAGTAAAAATAAATCAGTTTGAACGTTATCTTTCCCGATGAAACAAACCATAACACCAAAAGATAAATTTTACTCATCGAATTTACGTGTCAATCGTCACCATCATTTATTTTAAGCACCAAAATGGATAAAAGTTATGAAAAATACAAGGAAGTTGGCTCGGAAAATAATTCAAGTGAACAAGACATTGTTGTATTAAACGAAAAACAATACGTTTTTGATATTTGTCAGGAAGCATTTACCCAAGAATCAAGCGTGATAATACACCGAGACACAATTCACAATGAACAAAAAAATTACACATGCGACAAGTGCGAAAAGAAATTTTTGAAGGAATCAAGTTTGTTTACGCACCAAAAATTGGCACACAAAGATCGCGAAGATTTGTCATGTAAAAAGTGCGAGAAAAAATTTGAAAATAAATCAACTTTACTCCAGCACCAAAAAATATTTCACGAAGTTTTCAGAGATTACTTATGTGAAAAATGTGCAAAAAGATTTGGAAATAAACAGAGTTTGCTTTTGCATATAAAAACAGTCCATGAGGGTTGCAAAAATTATGCTCGGAACAAGTGTGAGAAGAAATTTCGAAGAAAGGCGGATTTTATCAGGCGTAAAAATATAGTTCACGAACGACGTTACGAAAAAGGTTACGAATGTGACAAAAGCGACGAAAAATTTGGTCGAAAATCGCATACGCTTTTGCACCAGAAAACAGTCCACGAAGGCCGGGAAGATTACGCATGCGACAAATGTGAAAATAAATTTGGACGAAAATCTATTCTGATTAGACACCAAAAGATAGTACACGAAAAGCGTAAAGATTTTGCATGCAACAAGTGCGAGAGTAAATTTGGTGATCCGAGCCATTTGAAAAGACACCAAAAAACAGTTCATGAAGGTCAAAAAGATTACGTGTGTGACAGGTGCGGGAAAAAGTTTGATAATAAATCGTATCTCTTTTTGCACCAAAGGACAGTCCACGAGGGTCACAAAGATCACGCATGCGACAAGTGCGAGAAGAAATTCGTTAGTTCAAGCAATTTAATAAAACACAAACAGACGGTCCATGAAGGTCGCAAAGATTTTGTATGCGACAAGTGTGAAAAAAAATTTGGGCAAAAAATGCTATTGCTCAGACACCAAAAGACAGTCCACGAGTGTCGCAGAGATTTCGCATGTGACAAGTGCGAGCAGAAATTTGGACGAAAATCAAATTTGCTAGCTCACATAAAGATAGTCCACGAAAGCCGGAAAGATTATGCGTGCGACAAGTGTAAAAGTAAATTTGGACACAAATCGCATTTGCTCTACCACCAAAGGGCAGTCCACGAAGGTCAGACAGATTACACATGTGACCTATGCGAGAAGAAATTTGGATATAAATCGAAATTGATTAGACACAAAATGACAATCCACGAAGGACGCAAAGATTTCTCATGCGACAAGTGCCAAAAGAAATTTGCACAAAAGTCGAAGTTGATCGTACACCAAAACACTGTACACGCAGGTTGCAAAGATTATGTGTGTGACAAGTGCGGAAAAAAATTTGGACATAGTTGTAATTTGCTAGTTCACATGAAGACAGTACACGAAGGTCGTAAAGATTACGCATGCGACAAATGCGAAAAGAAATTTGGACGTAAACAGCATATGCTAGTCCACCAGAGGACAGTACACGAAGGTGGGAAAGATTTCGTTTGCCACAAGTGCGAGAAAAAATTTGGACATGAAAAGTATTTACCGATCCACCAAAGAACAGTTCATGAAGGTCGAAAAGATTACGCATGCGATGAATGCGACAAGAAATTTGGATACAAGTCGCATTTACTCGTCCATCAAAAAACAGTACACGAAGGTCGGAAAGATTTTGCTTGCGACAAGTGCGAGAAAAGATTTGGTGGTAAATGGGGTTTGTTGAGGCATCAAAAGACAGTACACGAAGGTCAGTAAGTTTTTGTGTGCGACAACTATGACAATAAATGACAATTGACAATCGTAAATTATAGATACTTGTACATATGTTTTTCTGAAATTTTAATAAAAATTTTACTGAAAATTATTGTGTATTAGAAACTCGGGTTTTCAACTATTATTACACCTTCGTTCATGAATGTTGTGGTGATCTCAGATTTCGTGTACTATTACTAACAACTTTCTAGCCACTTTTCGGCTACTTGGTTTCTGTAATTCTTTGTGGAAAGATCAGCCAAAATTTTTTTATAAGTCTTGTTTGGAACTGTGACTGGAGCGAGTATTTAGTTGGCTACTGAATTTTCAATAAATCTCACGTAATGGCACGCAACCCCGAATTGATCAAATACGTGCAAGTGATAAATTTAGATAAATTTGTTGACAGATGGATTATTTTTACTATAGGAGACGTTATCGGTAATAACAACATGTTCTATCTGAAAAAAAAACGTGGATACCATTTATTAATTTAATTTAAACCAAAAAATTTGTTCTACATTTTCTTAAAAATGAGTAAAAACTCGCATAATTGTTTTGAAACTGCGTAAGTAGTGAATGAAAGTTGGCTTGGGAGCGGCACTTTTTTTAATTCACAACTGACTCGAGTAAAAATGCTCGACATTTTTTGGCTAATTTTTGGTCAAAGAAAAGTTTCGTGAACATAAAGGATAATTAAAATTGGACATACATTAACCAAAAAAAAGTTTGTTTTTTCAAACTTTTATGGCCTTACATTCCCTTTTTTTGCTACCGAATAACCTTTCTTTACTGGATAAATACAGGTAAACCCAGGGAAACCACAAATACCGAAGCAGAAAAAAGCAGCATCATTTTTTAATTTTTATTGAACTAGTCAGTCACGATAGACCTAACAGTTGACTTATTGACCTCGAATCTACGTATAATTATGACAATTTTTTCTCCTTCTCTTATAAGCTCCAAAATCTTGAGCCTTTGGCCCAAATCCATCACAGTTTTATTTCTTTTTGAGCACTTATCTTTTTTACTTTTATTTGTGGGAGCCATTTTTCAAAAATTTATTTATAAAATATCTATTCTAAAAATTATTACTAAACAACCGTGTAGTAAACCGGGTATAAGCGAATCCGATTCCCGCGAATAGCGAAACAATAGGTAATTTTATTGTTTCTAAAATTATGTAAGGGTGTGATCTTCATTTTAAGAATGATAAACTTCAACATTGTTGTCGCTAGCATTTTTTATTTACAGTTTTTCCCATTTTTACATGTTATTTTTTAAAATTTACTCATCTGCTTCATTTCCCCAGAAATCCACTAGGGGGCGCACGGGTATCGTTTAGTTGTTGATAGAGAAGTTTGTCTTTACCAAATTATGTATATACTTTTAATTGACTTATATCATTATTTTCACTTTGACACTTGTAGATTTGCAGATAACAATACTCGCCATCTAGTGATGAATCCTTAAAGTAGTACCATGATATTTTAAAGTGGTTAAAATTCAAGAACTGTTTCGAAACAATTTAATTGTTATTGAAAGGCCATTTAAAATGCGTTCAATAATTGGAACACAATTGTAATAGAAACATTGTCAAAAACAAGTCAGTTATGTGTAATGTATTTTTAAAAAATTCAAATGGTACTTTTTCAAATTTATTTATAAAAAATTCAATTGGTACGTTTTTGATCATCAACATAATAAATGTTGGGTTTGTTTACCAGGAGATGTTTATAAAAGCAAAAATGGGAAAAGAATAGATGTAAAGAGGACAATCTGCCTATAATCATGTACAAATTCTATTTTTGCTGCATAGAAACAAACGATATCTCGCTATATTCCAGTTAATCTTTCTTAACAGCCACCTCGTTGAGATATTAAAAGGCAAAACCACACAATTAACGTGCTCAGAGTACCCATAACGAGATCATCGAGATAGCGCCTTGCTCCTCGGTCTCGATTTGAAAATAGTTATAACGCGCCACACACACACGCGATCGACCCGTGTGCTCTGTTATAAGTTCAGCCTAAAAGAAACTTCTTCTTCTTCTTCTTCTGTTATAACTAAACACACATCGGCGGTGGTGGTGGCTACACTGCGGCAGCGGCGGCGACGGCACCCAAGATCAAGTTCTAAAAATACCACCGGCCGTTGTGAAAGCTCTCGCACTCGAGAAAGAAGCCGAAACGTCGACAGTCGCAGCACGTGAAATCTGTGCTTCGGGAGCAGATAGAGAGAGAGTGAGATATTATGCACACGATGCACAGAAAAAAAACAAACGTCGCGTTCGATGCTTCGACGTTGTCCGATCGATTGGTAGTTTATTGAGCACGTGCGACCGAATTTTATTGTTTAATTGATGTGTTGTGCGGTGTGACGATCGCTGGCAGTTGACTTGGTTTTACCGTAAATTTCAAGGGGCCACTCGATCGAACTTGACATAAATATTACGGTTATCGAATAGAGAAAAAATTAGCCGCTGTGATTATGTAAGCAATGTTGAAGCTCGAGTAAAATTGTAGATAATTTCCTGTACAACTGTCAGTGTCTGGTCAAGTGGAGAAAAAAGTTTAAAAGTGAAAAAAAAAAAAAACAAAAACGAAAAATGGGCGAAGAACTCGGCGAGCGCATCACCACCGAGACTCTGCGCAAGATCGCCTCGAACGAGGAGTACGCAGAGAACGAGATGCTCTGCGTCGCGGAGTACCTCATCGACCTCTACGAGTACGACGCCGAGGCGCACTTCGGCCTGGTCGTGAGCGACGAGCCGGCCCAGTGCGGCGAGCTCGACAAGCTCAAGGAGCTGGACGTCCGTAAGGAGCCGTTCTTCTTGATCTACAGCAAGGCGGCGAGGCACTGGGTCTGTCTGGCGGTCACCTATCTGCACAATTCGGTGGTGGTGCTGTACAAGGACTCGCTGGGCGCGCAGATACCTCACACGCTGAGGGACGCGATCGGCAATTGTTTGCAAAGCGAGACGGTGCGTTTCGAGAGCCACAGGGGCACGGAGCAGAACGACGAGAACAGTTCGGGCCCGATTTGTCTGAGGAATCTTCAGGTGCTCATGAAGGGCCTGAAATCGGATACGATCAAGGTACACAAAAATCGACTCGATCTCTCTTTCTTTTATCATCGATTCACTAATTCTCTCTCGTCAGGTGCCTCTCGTTGAAAAATTTCAAAAGGTCCGCTTCTGCACGCAGTACGGCGTGCAGAACGTCAAGCGGGAGTTTCGCCTCTGGCTGCAGAAGTACCTGCTGGGTGGCCTGGAGGCTCTCTGCGCCGAGCTCTGCTCCGATCCGGACTATCCGAGCTTTCGCGACGAGGTCGGCCTCTTTCTCGACGACTGCTCCCGACTGCTGCGCGAGACCTATCTGCTGTCGAGCGCCTACACGGGCCTGCTCAAGTCCGAGGCGAAGGAGAAGCAGCAGGATCCGCGACACGAGACGGATTACAAGACGATGAAGGCCATGAAGGACGCGCGGAGCGCCTTTTACAGGAATCAGGAGGTGTCGAGGAGCATCAAGTCCGACGAGAACGACTTTGTCGACATCGACGACGGCCACAGAGTCTACAATCTCGATATCCAGGAGAGGCGAGTGTTGTATATGCGTTAAAATTTCCATTACAATTCATCGATTTGCGCTCGAGCGTTCTCGAGCTCATTAATTATTCGAGCTTATTTATAGGCCGCGCCAAAGTAAACAATCGACGGGCTTTTAATATTAATACGCCGTTGAAAATTTGATACGCGTACTAGCGCTGACTGCTTTATGTTACGGAGCGTCGTGGAAAGCCTCGCAAAACTGCAATTCGTACATTTCCATTTGCATAAATTATATTTTATGTATTAAAATTTTTGTGCGTAAATACAGATACCCCGAACAGATGCAAAAATTCACGAAAATCTTCGCCGTCCTGGCCCAGGCCGAGATGAACGAGGAGCTCGAGCGAGTCCTGCAAAAGGTCAGCCAGATGCTGCGCTTGGATTACGCCAAGATAAGGGTGTACTTCGACAAGGCCAAGGCCACAGTGAGGCGACCGGAGCTGATGGCGGCCGCTCGTAATTCCGACTGCAATGCGCCACCGAGCGCCGCGGCACAGATCGAGAAAGCGGCCGCGGCGCTGAAGCTCAAGTCGAAACACATAAGGGTATGGATTTTCTTCGTAAGTCGTTTCGTTCAAGATCTTTAGAATCTTTTCTAATCTCGCAGGACGCGCAAAAGGCCGACGCGGCGGACAAAAAGATCAAGTCGTGGGACCAGCTGGTCTCGGAGCTGGTGCTCGACGTGCAGCACGACGATCTCACGAGCAAGGAGGACGTCGATCGGCAGATTCGCGAGATTCGCGAGTCTTACGCCAAGATAATGAAGCATTACGCCGCGTGGAAGGACAAGGGCGTGGGCGAGATCATGGCCTGGGCGAACGAGCGCAAAGCCGAGGAGAAGCCGTTCGAGGTCGAGGCGATCGAGGAGGCCGTGGCGATACTGGACAGAGCCAACGAGATCGCCACCGGCGGACAGCGTCTGCGAGCCACCCAGATCCTGTCGGTTCTGGTGTTCGTCCGATCGACCGAGTCCTATCACGGCAAACTGTGCCAGATCGAGAGCGGCGAGGGCAAGACCGTGATAGTGTCGCTGCTCGCCGTGACGATGCTGCTGCAGGGCGAGAAGAGCGTGGACGTGATCACGAGCAACGCCGTGCTGGCGCAGGAGGGCGTCGACAGTCGCAAGCTCTTCTACGCGATCTTCAACGCGAGCTGCGCGACCAACGCCCCGGACAAGAGCTACGCCCAGGGCCCGAGAAGGTGCTACCTCGCCGATGTGGTCTACGGCAGCATAAGCGACTTTCAGTTCGACTATCTGCGCGACACCGCCGAGGGCCTGGGCACGCTGAGCGGCCGACAGTTCGGCCGGGTGATCCTCGACGAGGTCGACAACATGCTCGTGGACAACGGCCGCCACATCGCCAAGATCTCGTCGCCCTTCGCCGGCATGGAGAACCTCAAGTACATCTATCTGAGGATCTGGAACGAGCTGCTCGACGCCGAGTCCGAGCTGATCGACGACTTCCAGGAGAAGATCGACGGCTTCGCCGGCCTGAAGAGCGTCAAGCGGATGGCCGTGGACGAGTTCGTGAAGATATTCGACGCGTCGATGATCGGCCGCTTGGAGGAGCGCATCAAGGCGAACCTCAAGGTAAACGGTTTAATTCATTTTAATTGTGTACACCGTTAATGATAACTTAAATTTAATGCATATTTAAGGTACTTTTACAGTAAATGTTTGTCGTAAATTAATGTATCAACACTGATTAATTTTTTTACTTCAACTCATATACATCAGAATTCAACAAATTAACAAAAAATAATTTTGTACTTTCATTTTGACCGAAATTGCTAAAAGAATTTATGGAAATTCAATCATAATTAAATTCAGTCCCCACCGCTAGATGGCGAATACACCTTTATTCCGTAAATCTGCAAGTGGCCCAATCAAAATAATTGTATAATAAGTACAACCAAGATTTCTGAAAATCCTTCCATTGATGTGTATGTTGATATTTTTCAAGATGTGTATATTAATCGGCGCTCGCCACCAAATGCGTGTTCGCAGGACCTGGATTACAAATTCGTGCCGACGCACTGTCTGCGCTACGCCAAGAGCATGATACCCAAGTGGATCGGCAACGCCATCCGAGCGCGCTACTTCATACGCGAGAACGAGCAGTACTCGCTGAAGGAGGCCAACGGCGAGCTGGCCATAATCCCGGTGGACTACAGCAACACCGGCGTCACTCTGAAGAACACCGTCTGGTCCTACGGGCTGCACCAGTTCATCCAGATCAAGCACAATCTGCGCGTCACCCCGGAGAGCCTGACCAGCAGCTGCGTGTCGAATTACGCCTACATCGGCAAGTACGGCAACCGGATATTCGGCCTCACGGGCACACTCGGCTCCAAGGCCGAGCAGGATCTGCTCTCGTCCATCTACAACGTGGATTACGCCCGGGTGCCGACCTACAAGACCAAGCTGTTCGAGGAGTACAGGGGCGTCGTCGTGCCCGACGACGAGTGGAGCTTCGAGATCGCACTGATGGCCGCGGGCATGATCAAGTATTCAGGTATACGCGCCGACAAAATGACATTTCAGCAAGTTCAATCTTATGCGCGCACTATTGTGATTGATTTGGTACTTAAAATTTATTTATTTCCATTGAAAATTAATGTTTTCATAGAAATTTATTTTTTGCATCAATTCATCGAAAAATCTACGAAATTTATCATAATTAAATCAATTCCAAATTTAATCATATTTATGACCAACTTCCACCGCTAGATTGAGAGTACCTTTATTAGCTAATCTGCAAGTGGCAAGGTTAAAATAATTGTACATAGCAAATTTGTGTTGACAAATTATCTTGAATCGATAATGTTTCTGTTGTTAGAATTAATACCAGTCTATACCACTAGTTATCAAGTACCTTCGTTTGAAAATCAGCAAGCGGCAAATTGAAAATAATCCTATAAGTTAAAATTTAAATCCTATAATAGTTAAATATATTTATCTATTATACTTCCTTCCTCCACATTTACATCAGTTTTAAAGCTAAACACAATTTTGGTCGTATCTCCCCCTCTTTCTGGGCAGGTCGAGCGGTCTTGATCATCTGCAAAACCATCGCCGACCTGATGCTGCTGGAGGAGCACTTCGCCGCGTTCAAGGACCTCATGAGCTCGGACTGCCCGATGCGGCTGAAAAAGTTCCAGGACGAGGAGTGCGTGGACGTGACGCGCGACACCGTCCTGCCCGGCGACGTGATCGTCGCCACGAACATCGCGGGCCGCGGCGCCGACTTCAAGACCTCGAAGGAGCTCGAGGCCCGGGGCGGCCTCCACGTCTACGTGGGCTTCTGCCCGGACAACGAGCGAGTCCGCGAGCAGGCCTTCTTCCGCACCTCGAGGCAGGGCAATCGGGGCAGCGCGCAGCTGGTCGTGCGCGAGAGCGAGATCAAGAAGCTGAATCTGGACACGAGCGATTGTTCAGAGGTGGATTTCGACGAGGTAATTATATACAATTTATAAGATTCTGAACGTACTTCGATTTTCAAAACATGTACTTTCGTAGGTGAAGAGAAGAATCGATATAATCGAGAGAGAAAGATTGAGCGACATCAAGCTGACCAAAGTCGACGTGTTGCGATACGAGGACGCGCTGTTCACGCTGTTCTCCGACCTCTGCCAAGAGCTGAAAAACAACAACGTCATAACGTGGGGCCACTCCTACCTCATGAAGGATCTCAAGGAGCTCTGGGCCTTCTGGCTGGAGGATCAGAATTTCGAGGGCAAAAAGTACTCGATGAAGGAGGCCAGCTACATCTTTTACAGTTTCAAGAATCACGAGAGAACCAGGCGAATCATCAGCGGGACAGTCACGCAGAATCCCTATTACGGCATTTTGCAGGCCGACTTTTTCATGAAGAACGACGAGGTGGACAAAGCCAAGGCGGCACTGATCAACGCCATCTGTCTGAGCAAGAACGCCAACGTCATGTATCCGGCTTTCCTCATGCTGTTCGACTCGACCCTGGAGGAGAAGGGCCGGCTCATGCCGCGTTTTCGCGAATTTCTCGCCAAGGTCTTCGCCTGCGGCAACTCCACGGCCAACGACAAGTACGCGATCTACGCCGCGGAGATCCTCGAGTACTTGACCATCTCGCAGGCCGGCCTCAGCGAGGAGATCGAGCACATCGAGCGGCGGATATTCAACGACGAGCACAACTACGGCTTCAAGCGCATCCTGATCAAGCCGGCCAAGGGCAAGGAGAACGTCCTCGTCAAGCAGTTCGCCGCCAAGCTGACCTGCCTCAAGGTCTATCGCAGCAACGTCGAGCTGCTGCTCGAGGCCTTCGAGGGCAGCGACACCAATAATCTCGCGGTGAGCAAGCGAATCGGCGATTACTTGAAGCACTTCAAGCCCGACACGAAGGAGGAGAAGCAGACCAAGGACCTGATGATCGAGCCCGAGCTGTCCGAACTGGGATCGAAGGGCCTGAAGACCATCTACGGACTGAAGAAGCTAGGCCTGATACCCGAGGCGACGGCGGAAAAGTCGAGGTCGCAGCTGATGGCCGCGCTGGCTCTGATCGCGAGATCCACGGCTTTTCCGCCACTGAGCTTCGCCGTGGCCAACGTGACGAGCGTCATGATAGCCGAGGCCGTCGCCTCGATCGTGCTGGCCCTCTTCAAGGAGAACAGCAGCGTGGACGACATGGTGCACAAGTCCGAGTATCTGCAGGGCAAGTCGCTCAACTACGTCGTGAGTCTGATGACCTCGGGCGATCTCAATCACGACGTCTGCGTCAAGATATTTCTGCGCATGGTCAGGTCGTATCGCGAGTCCTACTACATACTCGAGCACTCGAACGACAGCAACATGAAGCTGATAAAGAACGTCAACTCGACGGAGATATCGAGGATGGCCAAGACCCTGGACGAGTACGGCGAGTACGGCACGGCCAACTGGACGAGGCGAGTCAAGGTACCCGAGGCTCTGGTGGCCCACTTCTTCGAGAGCGACATCATGAACACGGGAATTGCTCAGCTGGTCGAGTTCGTCGTCGAAAAGGAGAGCAGCAGCAACGGCAAGGTGGACAACGTCGATGCGAAGCACGAAAATATCGACAAGACTCCGACGTTCTATTATCCTCCGAAAGAATGGCAGGGCGTGACCAAGATCGAGAGCTTCATCGCCAGGGCTGCGCCGAAAAAATTCGGTGGAAGCTTCGAGGAAGTTTCCAAACAATTTTCTCAGGGCTCGAGCTATTTCGTCACGGTGAGATTTCCATCGGAAGACTTGCTGAAGGATACCGAGTACTCGTCGATCAGTCCGACGAAGTTACCCGCGATCGCCATGCTGGAACGAGACCGCGGATCATTGGTGAAATTGCGCTCGATCGACGAGACGACCAAACAGGCGTACTCGAGCAGGCAGACGGAGCTGTTGCGCAAGAAGGAATTCTGGGCGGTGCTGAGGAACGAGATAGCGGAGATTCTGGCGATTTCCAAATTCTTCGAGCAGAACGGCCGCGAGCACGCCAACTACTCGATGGCCCTGGTGCAGATGCTGCATTACTGCAAGAGCGCCGACTTGGGCGCGCCGATAGGAAAATTAATCACCAGCGAGCAGTGCAACGTACTGGTCAAACAGTTCAGATTGAAGCACGAGATCGCGTAGTCCGTTTCGATATAGTGTAAATTCGCTCATTTTTACCGTAAGTTTTTAGGATAGAATTCGTACTTTTTATGCAGCACCCACGCGTTTGTGCGGCGGTGTCGTTATACATTTTTCCTATCATAGATTGCAATTGATTTTATCGTTCGTATATATTTGTGACGTGTATATTGTTAAAACGAACTAATTTTGTACATAAGAAGTTATAAAAATAGATGAAGTTTTAAAAATAGCACCGATTTTCTTTGTTTATATAATTTTACCTGCTACCTTTTCTTTACACAGATCCTTGCAATGAATCATTAACTTACAAGGTGAAGTTGATTAATTGTCTTAAAAACAACATATATTACTTATTGTTGTTATTTAAAATGTCAGAAACAATTAAATAAGAATACATTTTAGTTATGATGTGCAAAAATTAAATCAAGCCTGATTTTTGGTTTAGTCCCGCGTTAATTCCAGTGACTTGTAATAAATAATTTTGCATTCATAAAGAATGTAACATCATAATAGTCGCGGCGTCGATGTATATACATACACACGCCGACTTTCATTATAAAAATCACCCTCAATCACAAAATCAATGAAGCGAAGTAAATCAGACGTGTGTAGAGACATGCGGCGACGATCAGGGAACTGTTGTCGTTGTTGGACGAGTGAGTTCATTCAATATGAGTCGAAAAAAAAGGTTCAACACCGTAATTACTACTACTGGCTAAAAGATAAAATAAAACTGAATCAACAAAAATGGACGAGTTGGCACGCATGTTCGAAGGTAAAATAATTTTAGTGGAAAATTATTTTTAAAAATATAGCGAACATTCAGAAAATTCATGCAAATTATTGATGTCAATCAGCGAAAGAAACATGGAGGTACATCATACTCATCGAAAAATTAGCCGGATGTTGGCCGTATCAATATCCGCGTGTGAATTCGATCGTTCGCGTGTTCAACGGTGTGATGCTGGTATCTTTGTTAGTTCCAATAGTAGGTTCTCAACGTTTTGCTACTGTAATACATAGAAAGATTTTACATGGATTTTTATCTACGAATAGGTTTGCAGATTGTTAATTGAACTGAATTGCGTAGATATGGACATACAGCTTGTAATTGAAAATACCTTCGTTTCAACGATCTTATCTGGCGTCCTAATAAAGTTCATAGCTCTTTACATTAATGAAAAACAGGTAAAAAATTAGACGGTAAAATATATATGTTTTTAAAATAAATACGTATAACTTATGTTTCAATAGAGGGAAGAGGTATATCAGAAAATGACATTTAAAACACTGAAAATCACCAATAACAAAGAGACCCAAGTGATGAACTATCACTCGAGGGCGGCGCCATTATTTTTAACCAAAATCTTGCTCTGCGTCGGTCTAACCACTATGATGTTCGAAACGATACCCTTGGCCAATATGAATTTGGAATATTACCTGCAATCGAATCTAACGTTCAAAATCAAGCAGCTGCCGATGTACGCCGAGTACTTCGTCGATCAGGAGAAGTATTTTTACGCGTTGCTCTTTCACATGTTCGTGTCGAGCTGGGTCGCGGTGTTCATCAACATCTCCTTCGACGCGGCCTTCGTCCTCATCGTTCACAACCACTTGGCGCTTTACAAAATTGTAAGGTCAGTTTAGCCTGAAATTTTCTTGAATTCTTTTCTCAAATTATCGTCAATTATTGAATTACTTTTCTCTGTATTCAGCATGAGGCTCAGAGAGGCGTCGAAAAACGACGACGATAACGTGTGTTACTGCAAAACTATATCGTACGAACATGAGACTCGAGGCAACATCATCAACGCGATCGAGATCCATCAGACGGCTATAGAGTAGGTCACATTGCACGCGGCTATATTAATGGTTTTCACTCTACGACGTTTCTTTATGTTCCGACAGAATTACCAATACGATTGAGAAGGCCTTCAGCGTGCCGTTGTTTCTTCTGACCGTTCAAAATATGTCGACGTTCGGGGGCCTGCTTGTTTTGGTACATTAGTTTTTCAGAAAAAAAAAGTTTTCTCATTGCACTTGAAAAAGATTAATGTATAATTAATTTTAGGTGATGACCACCGTCCGCGATCCTGTCGAGCTGTTCAGATATTTCGTCACGTTTGCCGGAGTTTTGAGCTATTTCAGCCTCTTCGCCGTGTTGGGTGAAAAAGTCATCACCAACAGTACAGCCATATTCAGCGAATCGTATGCACTTTGCCTATAAAGCGAGATTACTAATTTCAATCTAATAAAACAAATATGATCAGTTATTTCAGTTACACTACGAATTGGAAAAATCATTCGAAACCTCTAACTGCGCTGTTTCGCATAATCATGATGCGCAGTATGAAGCCAGTTGATATAAAGGGCGGATCGTTGGTCTTGGGTATGCAAACGCTGGGCCAGTTTTTCCAGCAAAGCTTTCTGTACATACTGTTCTTTCGACTGTTCCGAAGACCCGCGTAGACAATTTTTCGCGAATCTGAAAAAAAAAGGAATCGACAGGTGTGTCGGAATGAAAGAAAAAATCAAGACAGAAGATTTCACTACAAAAGGCACCCAATACAGTATATTTCATAAAGTATAATAAAATACATCGGTGTTAGAGACAGTTACAATACTGAAAAATAATTGTGTTATCGATCATATAATATTTACACTTATTGACAACTTATAAAGGATGCGATACATATTGTTTCGAGCGAAGATCGTTGTTTTCTCTAATCTGATCAATAACGTACAGTTATAGCGCAAAATATATTATTACGTTCGTTTCGTTAATGACGCGACAAAATATGAGTAAGTGTGTTTGGAAGAATTTTTGAAGAAAAGGAGAGACAATTTTATTTCATCATTTTTTTTTAATTTGAAAAATTAGGTACCATGCAGTAAAATGTTTGTTTATCGATGATAGAAAAGTGTCAGTTGTTTCTTCGTGTATACTAGCTAGATATTCGTTCGGTATTTATTTTGTTCCATTATCGCGTGAGACCAGGTAAACTTCGCAAAAAATATACAGCGTTAGCGTATAGATAGATGGTTTTTTTTTATCAAACTCGTGGGTACTTTTTTGTGGCCTCAAAATGTCAAAAAGCTCGGGGATTTATTCAAGCTCGGTAACGTTACGATTTATTACTATCAACATTATTGCGCAAAAATAGTTTCTATACTTTTGTGGAATTTCGAGGACCATAAGCACGTGCTCGCATTCAAACTCAATAATTGCATCGAAAAATTCGTGTATATTCGTCAAGAAATTAGTTTTTTCTGTTTCTCTCAAAGTTCTAGTGTATATTATTATATCGAAATTGGGTACTTATTAGATTGAGTATAGAATGGAAGTAATTTTTTTCGAGTTCAAATCTGAAATTACTGAGATGAAGATGATTATTTTTTCATTGCAAGTTAAATGAAGGGCGAGACGAAGATTAAAATTCAGTTCAACTCATAAAGTTATTTCGTTACACATGTAAATAATATACAATTTTTTTCGCAAAATTATAATTTATCGGTCACCATCCCACAAAGATATAACTGTCGATATCTGGCTGGACCGTTTTTACTCGTTATTAAGTTTAGTCAATCGTTAGAAACGATTCTCTCGTCTCTTAAAGAGTAATCAAATTAGTAAGGACTTTTTTTCTTCCTTTGCAATTTCTGGTAGATACATTCATACGTACGATCGATCTTTATTCAGCATTATACACTCGTACTTTCACTTTAGTAGCGAAAAATTGGAATTAGAAAAATAGTTTGATTGAAAGGACTCGAGAAACCTGCGTAAAACCTTACACTTTTCGGTTTCTGACTATATCTCGTGTTAATGCCGATCGAGCGCAGGAATTATCTCGAGAAATAAATCGAAAGACATTAGTTCGTGTAATGTTTTTTTTACTTTTTTGTTTTAATGAATATCTATCGATTAAAAGGTGAAAAAAAGTTATTTCACTAAAGAAAAAACATTTTTCGCAATTCGTTTAATGTACTGCACGGTCCGTCTTAAGATCAGCTTACTCAATTTTTTTTTTGATTATCTATATGAAGACTTTCATATTTTTGTTTTGTATAAGCTTGTCAAAAACGTGACACGCGCCTCTCGCTAATTAGAAATTATAACATTGAACATAAATGTTTCAACAAGTTTTAGGTTTAAAATTACAAAATTTGGCTTTGTGAACAGGCCAAGGCGTGCGTTGGATGTTACGGATGCTACCTTTTACAAACTACATTCGATAAAAGATGTTTACAAATGACTTGAGGTTAAGAAATACGTTATAATTGTTTTATGTTCTATAATAGTAATCATGTTATGATTTTTTAGTCGTAATAATAATTATAACTATAATTTATATAACGTAATTTGTAATGAATAATAATAATTTTATAGATTAATTTTTGATATAGACATATATCATTTGAAAACAAAGTAAGACTAACGCATTCATGTATTATGTTAACTTATTAAATTGTATAAAAACTTTCGGTATATTACAATATCTTACAGAAGAATGGTACGTGTATGGTTATTTTTGCCAATGTGCGCGATCATCCTGATTTTTATTTTCATTTTTACTAGCAGCGACGAATCAGCGGATTTAAAAGCATGTTTAACGAGTCTGCTTAATAAATGATGATTCACATACTGTTACAGTGTAGATACACACTCTTAATATGTATATGACAATAGTAAAAATGCAAAAAATATTCACACATTATATTTGAACCTATATACTTTTGCATCGAGCTTGAGCAGAAAAATGACGATTTAAGGGATGAAAATGTTATTTTTCTATAAGTTCCCTGTGACGACATGTACTTTTGCTGCGAGATGACTAAAGCAAAAGCTCTGCGTTATAATTGAGGAATGGTCACTTTTGTGCTTTTCACTCAAAGCGCGTGAAAAAGTTTCGATCGACGGTTCGCTCAAATGTTACTTTAAACTGTATTATTCTGTTCCTACGTAAAATTTCAATTATGCTACGTATAATTAAATGCAGTGCTTTTTTAAGTTATAAATAATCATGCACATATAAGTATATAATTTTTACGTATTCTTTCATTACATTGGTTTTGTTTTTTTAGAACACATCAATGTTCACGCAAGTAAAGCATAAAAAACTATAAATTGTAAAATATGCATAAATTATTATTTTAAAAACATTCTAAATCACATAAAAATAGTACCATTCTCGCATACAAACAAACAAACAAACAAACAAACAAAATTAAAAACAAACATTCCAAGATATCACTCCGATACTTTGAAACCGACTATAAGAAGTAAAAATCGATTATGGCAACGTTTACGCTTTTTCGAAACGTTTCTAATCTCTGTTTCGATATAAAAAATTCTTATAACGAAAATCAGGCACAAATGCACAAGATTATTCCAGCGAACCGATCGAGCTATCTTCTCTCTCTCTCTATCTTAATTAATTAATTAATTATTAAATTGATTATAATTCCGTGACCGGAAAATCGGGGGCCTCGTTTCAGAGATTCACGGACACGTCGTAGGCTTCGGACGAGGTCGGCGAGGCGAGCGACGACGATGTCGTGGGTGACTGTAGCTGGGCCGGGGTCGAGTGGCCCGTTGGCGGCAGATGCGACGTCGGCGACTCGAGGGTGGAATTCCAGTGACTGCTGCGCTCGGTACTACCGCCGTCGCCGCCGTCGTCGGAAATAATCGAAATATCAGCTATAATTCCGCTCTCTGTAAATAGTAGCAACACGATAAATGATCAAAAGCTGTTTAGCATGGCACAGTACAGCTGAGAGAATGTGTGCACTACTCACCAACGCTACATTGACTATTGAGCGTGGTGCTACGATGATGCAGCCTCGGGCTCGTGTCCAAGCCCAAATTCAGCGTGTTCGGGGGTCCGCTGCTGCCGCCGCTGCTCGACGACGAGCTCACGGATATGACGCTGTGCGGTCGTCGACTGCATCTACTCGAGTCGTCGCTGCTCGACACGGCTATCGAGTTACGGAATCTTGGAGCTGCTGAAAGACGACGGAAGCGGAATTTTTAAAACTAAGACTCAGAAACGAAGACTGAGAAATTATCAGACGCCGAAGAAAAACTCACTTTTGGACAGCTGGGCGACACTGATCGATCGATCGCTTATCTGGTCAGCGCTGGGTCTGATGTCCAGGCAGGGTTTGTTACCGATGCCCATGCTCGACATTTCGGCCAGGCGCACTTCTGTAAATTTGCATATACGAGAGAAGAGTTTAGTTTAAGTTTATTACATCGAAAATAAAAATCCATAAAAATTGAAAGAAGAGTCTCGAACGAACCTCTGTTTCTGAGCGCCTGTTTCCAGAGTAAATTACTGAGCTCTTCGGTCCAGGCCTTCTTGATGTCCTCGCTGGCGCACTGCAGCGTGTACGTATCGCCCGGTTTGCGCTTTCTGAACCAGATCTCGAACTTTGTCGGCGAGTCGGCTATCACCGCCGTCAGTCCGATGTCCGTCGTCTTGATGCTGTGCTTGTAGATGTAGATGTCGAGGTTCTGTACGCGCGACAAGATAAAGGGGGAGGTAAAAGAGGATCATTAGCGTGAATCAATCAAGTACATTCGATAAGTACTGCTATATGTAATATACGTAGAAGATTGGTATGAATCGACTTACGCTTACCTTGCGATCGGGGAATCTGCGAGCTTTGCTGAACAGAATCAGATCCTCGAAGAGGAAGACTTGGCGCAGGCATTTTTTGCCCTTGCCCTGCCACACCAGAAATTCGTTTTGACGCAGCAATCTGCCTTGCTCCTTGACGTTGACCTGGATATAATTTATGTATTTGTTTTGTGACTCGTTCGAGGAATCGATCAAAAATACGAAAAAAAAAAAAAATAAAATAAAATAACTCACGTCGCAATCGCGCAACGAGTCCATGGCCAAGAGATCGTTGCCGTGTCTGAGCTGGAAGCGCACCATCTGCTCGGCCGACCTGAGATCCGCCTCGCCCTCGACCATCGGCCTGACGCTGTCGATGTCGTCCTTGTCGTCCTTGACGTCGTCGCCGCCGCTGTTGGTGCTGCTCTTGCCGGCCGACAGCTGCTCCGACAGGTCCATGCCGGCCTTGACTAGCTGCTGCAGCAGCAGCGCGTACTTGCCCATACGCTGCACGGGCTTGAGCAGATACGAGGCCAGGTCCATCTTGTCGCCGAGCTCGAGCTGCTTGGCCTTGAAGAAGGTCGTGCCGTACTCGGCCATCAGCGAGTCCGAGTTGGGCTTGTTCTTGTTGTAGAGCGCGTACAGGTAGAACTTCTTCTCGTGGCGCAGGAAGCTCTGGCCGACCATCATGGGCGAGTGCTCGCAGGACTCGAGCTCGCGCAGGAAGTACTGGCTGTGGAACTCGTAGATCTTCTCGACGTTGCCGAAGATCACGTTTCTCTGGCCTCGCAGCGACTGGGGAATGTCCTCGCGCAGCAGTTCCGGTATGTAGTTCTGTGTACGGAAAGCACAATTTTACGAATATTTTTTTCCACTTGTCCTTCGCTCGCATTATATTATGCATCGTGTATACTGCCCGCCCGCGAGTTTACAGTTACGAAAGCAACTCGGTCTCTCGGGCGGTACGTATACGTACGCGTCTTGGGCAATTTGTAACTTTGGCGTAAGCTGCTTACCTCTATTATGTACTCGAGAGATTTCACGTAATCACGCTCAGTCTGTATCATCTCCCTCATTATAAGTAGGATGGTTCTGCAAAAACGGGGAGAAAAAATGTTATGTTTTTTTATAGCGTATATACAACAACAAAAACAACACGTAATCTAGTTTACCGAGCCGTTAAATTGTCTAATTATGTATGATTTTAGCGCATAGAAGGCGCGAAAGACTACTCGATAGAGAAATTTCGAGCTCATTAGTGGCTGGAGTAAAAATACATTTTTCCACTCAGGAAAGCTCTCGCATATTTTCCAGCCGCGGTGAAATTGTCAACTTTTACCGCGCACGAAATAGGTCGACCGTGTCAAATATAAATAGTTGTTTGTTTTTATTTGTCCACTTACTTTTTGGCTTTCATGCCGTGGGCGATGCTCGGCGCCCGATTCAGATGCGAATTGACCGGTGGCCTGTTGAGGGTGCGCCTCTGCTGCTGGGGCGAGCGGGTCTGCGGGGTGCGGGGCGGCGAGCAGTCGAGCAGCTGCTCGCTGCTCTCTCTCAGCTCGGCGATGTTGTCGAGGCGTCCGCCGCCGCTGGCGCCGCTGGAGCTGCCGCTGCTGCCGCTCGCGCCGCTGCTGCAGTGGCTGCTGCTGGCCCCGCTGCTGCTCATCATCATCATGGCTCCGCCGGGATTGACGCCGCAGTTGTTCTCGCTGGCGCCGGCGCACGAGGCGCCGCTGCTGTTGCCGTCGCTGTCGTCCCAGGAGGTGCCTGAAACGGTTTGCAGTAGTCGATGATGATGATGTTGTTGTTGTTGTTGTTGTTGTTGTTGTTGTTGATGATGTTGATGATGATGTTGATGATGTTGCTGATGTTCAGTTGCTTGTTCAGCGCTCGAACTACTACAGCTGCTCGCGCGGTGCTGCACTTTATCGTGCGTCAACAGATGCTGAGCTAGATGAATGTGCTTGAGGATGAATCCTCTCGAGGAAGCATCTGAGAATGGATTCGGAAAGATTTTTGCGTGCGTGAGATTTGGCGCGCCTTTTTTTGACACCGCGGGTCGGGGGGCGGAGGAACGAAGCCGCGCGCGATACGAAAGCAAGAAGAGGATAAGCAGTTTTGACAAACAACGTTGGAATTTATACTCACGTTTTCCCAGAGCCTCGTCCCACGAGTTGGCCGAGTCCGAGTGGGCCAGACTCCTTCTGCGCTGCGGACTGCCCGGGGCCGAGGAGCCCCTCGTCATCTCCAGGGCCTCGGCGCACTTGGTCCTGGCCATTCTACACTGATCCAGCAGCACGTCGTTGCCCAGCTTCTCGGCGAGCGCCATCATCTCGGCGAAGTGCTCGGCCGGCAGGGGCGGTCTCGCCGCCAAGAATTGCTGCGCCTTGCGCTCGCCCGCCGCTAACTGCCTGGCTTCCTGTGCCCAGTCGTAAGCCTTGTCCTGCAGCAAGCAGCATCGCGACGTGTCCTCGAGGTACTCGCGACGGTCCTCGAGCCTGGCGCCGAAGCCTCGCAGATGCTGCTTGAGGGAGCGCGCGAGCTCGCGCAGCCCGGAGGCCGACGCGGCCTCGGCTAGATCGCTGCCCTTGTCTAGGTGTCTCTGTAAGCAGGAAAGGGAGATACTTTGTTAGGGATGCGTCATGGAAATATAATATCGATTTATATATCGAATTAGCCGCACTCAATCGAATCACTGAGATGTAATTTTCACCTACTGCTTCTTTTATTGCCTTACGCGTCAATATAACATTGCTAATTACAAGGAAATAGTAATCAACAGCTCGAGGGCGCGCAACACAACCCTAACGCACAGTCGCTCGAGAATGTCAAAGGCAAACTTCTGCACTATGTCAAAGACTACGTTGTACATATACCAATTCGACGTTTGTGCATACACCCTGAGCAGCGCACATACTGAGCAAAAGAGAAAGAGAAAAATAGCAGCAGCAGCAGGCGAACTCTTTATTGGGTAGTACGAAAAAAAAGGTTGAAGATTGGCGGGCGTAACGTGTGCGCGACGACTTTTACACATTGTATTCATGTGTGTGTGTGTATGTGTGCGTGAACGTCGACGCCCCCACGTCGAGTACGTTGAATATATATATTCGCGACAGAGAGACATACGCGTGCGCCACGTGGTCTCTCTCGCGCGATATTTCTGGTGTGAACTTGAATGGGCTTACTGCTGCTGCTGCACCGAGCGGCGACGCGGCACGTACACCACGAGCGGGTAAAGTAATCAATCCCCCCGCGTACATAGCAGTATACGTGTATGTAAAGCACGAGAAGCCGATCTCTGCCTTTCAACGAGACACGGTAAAAGGTTTATTTTTTTTTCTGTCGTCGCCACCATTGCTGGATAGCGGGGGCGGGTTTGCCAGTTTATATGTATACATTTTGAATTCACGAAAAAGTGGCCGTAGCTCGACAGGGTTCACACGATCGAATTAACTATGTGTATATATATACGGGATGTAGAAAAGAAAATACGGAAAAACACGTAACAAGTTGAAGCGTGCGCGGGGGGAAGGACGGAATTAGCCGATCGACTCGGCGAAAATCCAGCATGTCTAACGGTGTGCTGCAGCAGCAGCACGCAAAACAAACGGACCTAAAAGAAGTAAAATAGAAGTACACGTATAAAAAAAAAAAAGAAAAAAGAAAAGGAAAACTGCAGCTCTGCTCTCGGCGCACGCGTCTAGAGTTCATTGTACTTCCTCATAATAAACTTCCTATATATCTGCCGCTCGGCTCGGCTCGGCTCAGCTCTCGACTCGACTCTCGGGCTTCTCTCTCTTTCGCTCGCGCGCGCGTTATTTCTCTGTCGAGCAGCCCACCCCCGCATCTCCGTTGACGCGCGTGAGAGTTCGTTGAACGTGTATAGAGTACACATATTGAACACGCGGTGATCTGGGTGGTCGCGACCCTCGCTTATTTATTTTAGTGGTTTTTTGTTCGTTTCGTTTATTATTCGACGTGTAATACATGCGCCTCGTTGTTGTCAAATCGCATGGAAAGTACGTTCGAATGCTGTGTTTTAGACAATTTGGCGAACTTCGAAGTATAAGAGTTGCAGTTTTATGCAATTATGGTTTTTTTCGAACAACAGAGGAAGCTGTGCGCGCGATACAAGATCGTCTGATCTTTGGTAACGGATCACGAGTAGGCGAGAAATGGTCGAACGGCGCGTGCGATAAACATTATGTACGTTTCGCGCTTCGAAATGAAATTGACGCACGCGAATAGGAGTAGCAGCAGCACTTCGTTTTCTTATTCCAACAATTGCTTCCCGAAGGAAAAAAAGAGCAGCCTAGCACGTGATACTATAGTCTTGTACAAATAAAAGCGCAAAACAGTTATACATGGCGCCCATTAACGCAAACACAATGAGCTAGAAAAAAAAGGCTCGCTTCTCGCTCGGTAGTAGAAAGAAAAAACAAAACTAGTTTACTATGAGTGCGTTAGGCCGACAACTGACGGCTCGTCACCCTCCCGTGTGTCCCAAGGGGGGATGTTCGTTTATAATATAGAGCGACACTCATATTAGGGGGCGTGAAAAGCACAGAGAGAGGCGGCAGGCGCGCACGTGCCAAGTCGCGTGCTCGGAAGAGATCAACGTCACATTTTATAGAGCGAGAGCCTCTAAATACGATCGCGTTTTCTCGAAAATCTTTGCGCGCTACGATTATTGGCCTTTTAACGATTGTATCTATTTACACCTTCTCATTGATGTATTATGTCGGTGTCAGAGAATAGAGACGTACGCCACAAACGCCATGCGGCTTTCGTCGGGCTAATAAAGTTTTCGATCCGAAATAAATGAAAAGAAGTTCGACGGCTACTTATATAGTCGAGCTCTCGAGTATACAGGCAGAGCTATTTTCTATCTTCTCGACTCGAGACGTCTCGTCGCGCGCGAGGGATGTGTATACAAACAGGAGAGAATACATATATACGCGTAAGAAATTTGCATCGACGCGAGCGGATATATTTTCAGCTATATAATGAAAATACCTACCGACGAGTCGCGCGTCTCATTCTTTGAAATGCCACACGTATTTCGCAAAGCAACGCAGGCAACGAACAGAAAATATCTTTCAAAGCTGAAAGCTGATATACAAGTATAAGCAAGAACAAAAGAGGAATAGGCGCGCGCTCGTCTCGCCGCGCGGCTTTGCCAATGTTACGCTCGCGCGAATGACACGCGCGTCTTGCGTATGGATAAACGCGGCTTTTATGTTTTTTTATGTAAAATTTTTTATAGGACGTTTGTTACGGGGACTTGCGATAATAGTACAGCACTGTAAACTCCTCGGAATCGGAGTTTATTATATTTTTTTACTTCTAACACAGCTGTTCTTACACGGTTGCTGACTAATTTTGGAAATTCGCCATTATTTTTTAAGGATAATGTCAGAATTAATATTTCAGATCTCGTTTTGAACTGTATCAAGATTTATCATAATCCAAGGTGTCACATTTGATCGTGAGTTTTTTGATTTTACCAACAGATGGAGTACTGTAAACTCTCAAGTGGCAAAAGAATGTTAAAAATGTATATGTACAAATCATTTTTCAAGACTTGTGTATTAATAACCGATGATAATTTGCGATATAAGTAGCGTAACGCCGCAGCTCTCTTCTGTCAAACTTGTCAGAGGCGCGAGGCTCGCTCCTCAATCTCGCCTGGCAGATCGTAACGACTCACAATGTTCCATCGATACAGCTACTTAGAATCATATAATGGATGTCAATAGTCATAAATTTTTCAAGTCAGCTCTCGTATACGATGATCATTTCAGCGAAGACTATTCGCTTATTTTTTTCCTCCTTCATATCGTCTCGCCTTTATTACATATTATATACCCAATAGAGGGATTACGCGAATAATCGTCCAAACGGCGCTCGCGTTACACACAAAAAACTCCAAACGTGGGCAGCTGTTACGCAGCTCGCGTTTCGTCAATATAGTAACTTTGCCGCCGCCGCCGCCGCCGCCGTATAGCGAAATGCAGAAAGAAACGAAATCAATTAGCAGCGACAGCTCCGCGGTACACATATTCGTATATATGTAACTATATCTCGCACATGTATCCTATACGGTACTGTAATGCACACATAGACGGGGGGCGGTCGAGCAGGTAATTTACGTACCACGCGTCCATTAGCCGTTTCAAATGTTGCGCGCGGCCCTCGATATAGGCTCGGCGCGAGTCTAGTATACGCGTATACGAATCTGTCGTAATGACAGTAATCAGTTCAATTACACACGACTCTCATAGCGGCGGCGGCAATGATATATTTCGTTGATTTGTTTTCCTTGCCTTGTTTTTTTTCTGCTGCTACTTCTTCTTACTACTACTGCTACTTTTTACCCCGAATGAAAAAAGAAGAAGAGAGTAAAAAAGAAGAAATAAATTCAAACATGCAGTGCGTTATGAGCACGGAGCCGAGGCAGCAACAGGCTATATCGTTTTTCGTGATTAATCGCCCCGCGATCTGTGTTCCTCCTCAGAGCAAATACAGAAGCCCCGCGAGTTACATCACAATTTCTGTGCATGCACCTCGTGCGCGTCTGTGTGCGTGTGTGTGTGTGTTTATATATTAAGCGAAGCTCATAAAAGATACACCATTTCGAATTAATCAAGCCGCGATTTACAGTTAAACGAGGCAAATTTTCCATCCTCGGCGGTGTGCTGGCTTGTGCCTTTAAATTCATACATCATACGTCAGACGTGTACGCGCGCATGATTATGCATGCACAGGCGCACGCACGTGCAACAGCACTTCGGGATGCTGCTGCTGCCGCTGTCTTGTGTACAGGTATATCGAAGATACATTTTCGCACGGCTTTCATATATACAGGTATAGGAGCTCGAGACTCGGCGCGACGGCTACCGCTGGCGGCGATCATTAGATCAACAAACGACTCAATATAAGCTCTGCGTACTCGCGGATGATTGAGCATTAGGAGGCGGCGGCGGCATTTCGTGCCCAGGGAGAAGAATGTATACACAGTCCAGGCGATCGAAGGCGATTTTCATGTCTGTCGCGCGCGATTGCGTCCGAAGGCGTATGTAGTGCATAATGACGCGAAATTGATCATTTCAATTATAAATCAGCGCTAAAAAATAATCTTTCCGTACAAATTGCTCGTACAGCTCGTATCACGTGCTTCAATTATTTATTTTTCATATACGAAGCGTAAATATTAGAGAATCTAAAATAATAGACGTATTGGAAAGTTGCATTATATTATATGAATGCGGTCGATTTTGGTTTCGAGCTTTCCTGCCTCATTTAGCCGAATCATTATAAAATACGAGCGAATTTTCGTAAAATCATTATAACGATCCAGTCGACGTCGACGACGACGACGACGATGCCCGACACTCTAATAGTAACGAGCAGCAGCAGCAGCAGAGCACATAAATCTTCAATTTTCCAACTAATTTCCACTCTGCCTTATATAGAAAGCTATATCTGCAGCATGATTTTCGTGGAAGATTCGCGCGCAGATTAGAAAATTCGTAAAACAGGGAAGAGTCGAGCGATAAATATACGATATGTAAAATAAGTATCATTTTCTTTCTCTCGCTC